GCCCTGGCCTTACTGTATCTTTTCTATGTTTAGATACATTTAGATACACAGGCACTTACCATTGTGTCACAGTTGCCCAAAGTATTCAGTGCAGTAACATGCTATTACACAGGTAGGTTCATAGCCTGGGAGCAATAGGCTGCGTACCACCACATAGCCTAGGTGTGTAGTGGGCTATACTGTCTAGGGGTGTGTGAACGTGTACTCTGCGATGTTGCACAATGATAAAGTCACCTAACGATGCATTTCTCAGAATGTATCTCTGTCAGTAAGCAACACGCCCTTTTCCCAAATTTCAGATTTGAAATAATTTATGAAGTTAATAAATGATAAGACCCAAAAAAGGGAAGGGTGAAAATATGCTGATCATAAGGGTTTATACAATTGCTGTGATTGTGTAACTCTTGGCTTTGGGCTTCCTGGCAGCCAGGAAAAAAAGAAACAATGTCTACCCAGCTTTTAGTAACTTCTGGGAGACAGGCATTGCCCCAGATCTGTATTTTAAAGGGAAACTGCCTCAGGATTCCTAAGGGAATTCAAAGGATGAGAATTAAAATGGTCTGTACATGGCAAATAAAAGGTGCTAGAACTGGGAATGGGGGGAAATATAGGGGCACAAAGATATGGGTTTCTGAGTCCAGGCTGTCTTCAAGAGGCTGCCTCCCCAGGGCAAGAAGGGCCCTTCTAGACGTCTAAAGGTCTGAAGTGTTTCAGGAACACAGAAAGCTCCTTCAATGAATGACATTACGCAACCTCAGAGTGAGCAAGGAGAGGCATCACGGACCGAACACCAGCATGACTTGCACTCCCGCCCACGCTGCCTCCAGGCCAGCCTACCAGCCAAGTGAGGCCCCTGCTCCTCGGTCCATTTGTCCCCTTCCCTCTGTTGATAGGCCTACCCCTTTCACCCTCTTTCTCAAACGGCGGTCTCACCTCCACGGAGCTACTTACACCTTTGGGAGTCGTTTCCCTCTTCCTTGCTCAAGCTCTGTGTGGACCCATCTACTGCTACATTGGAGTAAACGACTGCTAAGTCATTTACTTACAGAGGCTGCGGTGGTCGCAACTGTTCTGATGTTACATTGAGAATAAGAATTTCAAAGCTGGAAGTGGCACAGTAAATATGGGGAGACCATAAGAAATTTGTTTTGTTGTGTTTTTTTTTTAACTGATAATGCTAATAAATCAAAATGCTACACAGTACATACATTGTTTTAAACCTTTGGATGTAAGTTCTGAAAAAACACCTGCAACATGAATTCTTGAGATACAAAACATTATAATGTCATTAGGGAACTCCTGAGAACCTGCAGCAACCACTTTCTAAAAACAGACCAACCTTACAATATTAGTGAGGAACCTCTAACTACTCTGCTTTTCATCTGAGGTCTGGACTCCCAGCTCTACTTCTTGGAAGTCTAGGGTACTCCACTGGTGCCCTGGGAGCTTCTACCTCTGCAGCCCTACTTCTCTTGTTTTATATCCTCTGTTTTGTATAAGATGCCACACATGCTGGGGGTGGGGAGAGGCAGGTGGTGGCATGAAGATCCTGAGATGGGCATGTTTGTAGGACATGCTTTGAGTTGCTCCCCGTAAATATGGTAGATATTTAACGAATTCTTCATTTTGGGCCTTTTTCTTTTAGGTTACCACCTATGAGAAGCTAACTGGTGTTTGGGACATAGCCTGGGCTTTCACCCATTTAGGATTGGAAATGGAGCAATAGACCACAGTGAGAACCATGGTCTCCTGTAACCACTGCAAGGGCCAGCCCACAGAGGAGTGTGGAGAAGCTGCATGCTTCAGTGTAGTGTGTACAGAATACACGTGTGTGAGGGCGGTGGGAATAGCAGGGGGGAAGCCTCCTCTCTCACGGGCCAACATCCAGTTCCCAGGTTTCACATGCTTTTTATAAACCAACAACCTCTACACTCCACTCTCTGATCCTGACCCTCCACCAGCCCCAGACTGGCTATCTACTGCCCACCTAGCATCTCTGCTTACATGTAATATAGGAGCTGTTTGGTCATAACACAAGCCTCGATTTCTCCTCTAAAATCCATTCCTCCCCAGACTTTCCCATTCAATGTAAGGCACCCGCAATACCCCAGCTGCTCCAGCCAAGACTCTCCAGAAAGCACAGTCTGCAATCTCTCTCCATTCTATCAGCTTTCTGACAACAGTTCTCAGACATGGCTGAACATGAGAGAAATGTGGGAACTATAAAGCATCCCAAAACCCAGGGCCCTCCGCCAGGCCAATTAGAGTAGAATCTTTGAGGGTAGGGCCCAGGCATCAGTGCTTTTAAATAGCTCTCCAGGGAATTTTACAGTGCAGTCAGGCTTGAGAACTAGTGGCTTAAATGGACTCCAAATCCAACAACGGCTTCTCTCTGGCTTCGTTGCTCCTGCCTTGGGCGGAGCTGTCGCCATGTCTTGTTTGGACACCTGCAATACACTTCTAGTCTCTCACTTCTACTCGTCACTCCTTGAACCTCCATTGCAAGCACAAAGCAAATCAGATCACACCCTGCCTCTCTGATGGCTTCTCACTGCACATAGAATATAAAACCATGTTTTCACAAGGTCTATGAGGCCCTAAATAATCCAGCCTCTGAGGCCCTCTCCACCTTTTCTTGTCTCTCTTGCCCCTACCATGTTTTGATCACCCTGGTCTTGTCCTGTTTCTTGAATGTGCTAAGCACACTCCTGCCTCCGGCCCTTCATGCCTACTCTCTCCTCTGCCCTTGGATCTTCATTTGCCTGGATTATAGCTTTAAGTCATTCTGATCAGCTCAAAATATACCACCTCAGAGAGGCCTTCTCGGACCACCTTGATCGAAAGTTGTCCCCGTTTACCCTAGAAAAGTCACTACCATATCACCCAGGTCACCTTGTTTTATTGTGTTTAAAACACTCATCAGTTTCTGAAATACTTTGTTCAATCACGTCTTCACTACCTGGCCCCACCATGAGAATGTGAGCTTCAAGAGGGCAGGCATTTTTGTCTGTCTTGCTCACAGCTGTATCCATTGCTCACAGAACAGACACTCAATAAGCACAGCCACTCACTTTATTCCCCCACCAGTGCCACTCCTGCTCACCACTGCCAGAGTGATCCTTGTAAAATGACAATTTTGTTTAAAATTTGTTTAACACCTAAGTGGACATATAGGAAAAACATTTATCGGGTGTCAGGCGGGTGGGAGGGGAGAGGAGGGAATGGGTGTATACAAACACAATGAGTGAGATGTGCAACATTTGGGGGATGGTCACACTTGAAGCTCTGACTCGAGGGGGGAGGGGGGTGTGGGCAATGTATGTAACCTTAACATTTATACCCCCATAATATGCTGAAATAAAAAAATAAAATAAAATAAAATTTGTTTAAAATCCTCAGGGGCTCCAGACTGCCTCTCATCATCCAACTCCTATCCTCCCTCCTCTTTGGCACCCCATCCACATCATCAGCCCAAACCCATTTTCACCTAAGTTCCCACCGTTCCAAACAACTCCTGGCTGCCCACAGGAGCCACACTCCTGCATTCCTAAGTCTTTGAGCATGCTGCCCCCTCTGCCTGTCTTCTTGTCCTCAGCGTCCACTGCTCTGACAAGAACTGGCTTGGACATTACGTCCTCCAAGCCGTCACCCCTACCTAGATTGGTTAATGTTCTCCCCCAGCAATCCAGGCTTCCTTCTGCCACAGCCTTCATCACACAGGACCACCCTCACCTGTACTCTCCAAACAGAGGGCACCTTAAGGCTAAGAACAGTGCCTGGGGCTTAGTAGATACTAAACATGAACTGAGCAAAATATTATCTTCTACTTCTGTATCCCCAATAGCAAGAGCATCATAAAAATTTCTAAATAAATCCTTAACTTGTTTTTAGAATGGCAACATTGATGTTTCTGGGAAAACTCTTTTGTACCCCTGTGCTTGGGGGCACTTACAATTACACCCACATACTCTGCTCCCTCCAGGTGATGGCTGTACAGTGATCCTGTAAGGGCGTTAACACTGCGCCAACAGGCCCCTGCCTCACGCTTTGTTTGGTCTCCCTGAGGCACATGCATGAGAAAAGGCACGGTCTGGACCAGTCCCTGGCATGTAATTGAGTTGGGAAAGCTGCCTTCCCTTGGGACCGATTAACAATCTGCCACCTGAACCAACAGGAAATGGAGCCCTTCGAGGACAGGAACTAACTCAGGACCCCATCATCTTTATTGCGCTTTCCCTAGGGCTCACAGAGATGAATCTGCATGGCCAGTGTCACTGCCAGTAGCAGTGCTCTCCTTCTCTTAATTTAAACACACACATCCCACGCACTAAAACAAGCCACAGGAGGTCTTTATCAAATAACATACTCTCTTGTTTTTCCCATACAAGAGAATGAACAGGAACAGAGGGTTTAATATCAGGGTGCACAAACACTCAATAGCCACGTGCACAACTTGGTATATTTAGCTAAGTCATCGAGCAGAACATCACTGCTTTACCCACAGATATTCACCAAGAGGCACTTGTTGCGGCCTGAAACAGGCTTGTCCAGCTTTTCAGGAAAAGATGAACCTCCCCAAGCAAAGTGAAGGCCATTTCCGTGCAGGTTCCTGGAATTGGATGTGGCTTTAATTTCAAATCCACCTAGCTCCAGCCGTATCTTCACTGGGAAGCTCCATCCTGATCCAACCCTCCAGCATGCTTTCTACTCCAAGGTTATCTGTGCTTTGCTAATCAGAGGCCAGGTTTCCCTAGACCAAGCCCTCCCACAACAGGCCCAACTAATGTATACGTCAATGTACACATAGTATCATTCAACCAAGATCAGAATTCTAGTCAGAATTCCATAGACCTCTGACCAAGGGGATCCACTTCCCCACCCAGGACTGACTGTCCTGTTTCCCATAGTCCCAAGGTCCAGGGGGAGCATGCAGGCTGCAGCCATGCCAGGGCCAGAGGAGGAGAGTGTGGGCTGGTCAAAACAAGCCCAGACATACTCACGGGGTCCGTCAGCATGGCCCGGCAGTGGGAAGCCAGGGCCAAGAAGGCCAGCAGGTTGAACACAATTCCATTGATGATGCTGTACGCGTAGTCTCGGGATGGAATCAGCATGACAAAGAGGACCACAAACTCCGCATAGAGGACCAGACACCAGGTGACAATGGCACAGGCGATGCCACAGCCATCACGGATAAACCACATGGTTCCCACAGGACCAGGGTAGGGTGGTGGGACACACTTCTCCGGCTGGAGGTACTCTGGTTTCCGCTCAATGTCTCGGAAGTGGTGGGTGGGGATAAGCATCATAAGCTATTCTGTCCATACTGGCATCTGGAAGAGAGAGAAAAGAACCCAGAAACTTGGTGTTGTCTTGTCATCAAGGAGACTTGACAAAATCACCTTTCCATAGTGAGCCGTGAGTATCTATGCACAAACCCCTTACAGAAAAGCTGTCCAAACTTGGTCGCTTAAAATGTGAGTTCTCATTGCTTCTTGGCCTCTTGGCTAAGATCAAGTATAGTAAAATCTGAGTTCTCTTTCCTACTCCTGAGAGTTAACCGAAACAGCACCACTGTGCTCCAGACCTTCTCATGACACATAATGAAAAGGGAGTCAACCAAAGGCTAAATGTCCTGCCCAAGGTGAGCTAGAGCAGGAGCAGCAAACATAGCATGCCAATGTGGAGGCAGGACTGGAACCCAGGTCTCTTTGGCTATTAGGGATCTACTGGGCAGAAAGTGTCCCAATAGATATATTCAAATTCTGACTTGAAAGGAAGGGAGAGCAAAGGCGAGACGGCAAGGGAGAGTTCAAAGATGTTTTCCCACCACTTGGCTATGGGGCTTTGTGGGCCTGTTTCCTTACCTGTGGAAACACCCACATTGCAGCCCTGGCCACCTTCCTCCCAGGGTTGCTGGTGTGAGGCTGGAGGTGCTTGTGATGAACAATATAGATTGTAACACTCTGTACACACCTCACAGATTGTGCACAAATATTCTCTCTAGGAAAAACATCATTCCTTCAGAAATAACAACTGAGCAAAGCACCCTTTCTTCCTAACAGCTGCAACTCGAGTCTCTGGGGACAGCAATGAAATAACTAAGAATCAATGACTACAGTCTATCTGTCCACAGCATGTGCTACAAGACACAGAAAGCTCAGATTTCCCTCCTTTTTTTTTTTTTTTTAATCTTAACCTCTCTGGCCTGCTGCGTCACTAATCAGGCTTCTCAGTTAGAAACTGTGATGGCTCAAGCTTCCCACCAGATTTAGGTGCTATGGAAAAGCCACCTATAACATACGCTATGACACAGGCAAGAGATACCCCAGTCTTTTGAGACCTCAAGTAACTACACAGCAGAGGAAATCACTCAAAAGCCACAGTAGCTATGTGTGAAGACTGTGGCTCTGAATGGTTAAGGGCAGGCTTTCAATGGTTGTGTTGAGTTATCCTTACCCTTTTACCAATTCTCCTTCTTCCTCCAATGTCCTCACCTCCAACAAAGAAAGCGCATCTGGACTGAATACAGTACAGCCATGAAAAGTAAGAACATGTCCACAAAGCTGAGAGGGCAGAGCAGTAACTACTACTCAAAATGACAGACATTCTAGAGTCACAAGTTGCACAGACTAATAATGAAGAATAAGGACAGGGCCACCCTTCCCAAAGTGCCAGAGAACTAATGGCAGTCAAATGTGAACCATGTACTTGTCCAAAGGAACATCAACTCAACAAATATAGTGACTATCACATGCTGGGCACAATGTACCAGGGAACAAGAAGTCATAACACATACAGAATAACCATCTCCTCAAGCAGAGCAAAAGCCTTGGTTCCCGATGGTTCATCAACCAGAATTTTCTAACAAAGCAATCTTGTGCTCTCCAGGGGACAGTGGCAATTTAGTGTTGCCAGACAACCTAAAAGCATTAAAAGATGTGGGTACACCTGCTGTAGCACTGAACAGAAGGACAAAAGATCACAGACCAGGGATCTGACTTACAACCAGGAAATACTAAAATCCTAAATTCTATTCAACCAAAACCAAACAAAATAGCTGACAACCCACAATGATTCAAGAGCTCATTGAAGCTCAACATTTTGACAACCTCCAGTTGCAAGCACTTTTTCGGTTTTTCCTGCTGCCACACAGATTTGTATGTGTATCATCTATGTTCCCACAATTACTATTTAAAGCTGAAAACCAATAAAGTTTAACTGGACCACAGCCACATCATTTGATTATATGCTTATATTGCCTTTGGTGGCTTTTGCACTAAAGTGGTAACAGTTGAATAGTTGTGACCCATAAGCCTAAATATTTACTCTCTGGCCCTTCACAGAAAGACCTGCTGATACCTAGTCCCAAGCAGTTGTTGCCCACCAAATAAATAACAGGGCCACCATGACTCTTGCTTCCCCTGAAGATCAGGCTGGTGTGACGAGTTTGTCAGTTACAACTCCCCACCACCCCCATCTGTGGCAGCATAACTCCCATCATCTGCAGCCTGAGGGCCATCTCCCCATAACCTGTGTACTCTATCAAACTGTTCTTTGATTATCATAAATGGCGTGGTTGTCATAAATGGATGATTACTGAAAATACATTTAGAATAATTGTCTTGTTTAGATACTTCCAGTGATAAATTATGCTCATAGCATATTCAGAGTAGTTGACTGACAATTGCTCATTCTTAGTTGTACTTATGAGAATGACTTGACTAGAGTTATGTTTATATGCACGGTTTTGCTGAGGAATAAGCCCTTCCAAGTAAGTAAACTTCCCAGGTAACTATGACTTATTTTGAAGAAGAGATACATTTTAATCATTTGGATGGTTAAGATGCAAATCTTTTTTTGTTTTTCCAGACAGGGTCTCCCTCTGTCACCCAGGCTGGAATGCAGTGGCATAATCAGAGCCCACTGTAGCCTTGAACTCCTGAGCTCGAGTGATCTTCCAGCCTCAACCCCCAAAGTGCTGGGGTTACAGGCATAAGCCACCATGCCTACTTGGAAGTCTCAAAAATAGAATCAAATTTAAAGGAAGGAAGGAATGAAAGGAAAGAGGGAGAGAGGGAGGGAGGGAAAAAGAAAAGGAAAGGAATTACAGCTTTTTCTGCTTTAACAATAACCATCCATTTCTTCTGGAATGATTTAGATTTATTACCAGGAACATCAATTACTGAAGTATGTTAGGTAATGATGTCCTCAGGGACTACCGAAATCCACTCAGTCTCGGCCTCACACCAGCTGGCCGGTTCAGACTTATAATTCTAGCATCTCTGCTATATGGTTCCTCCTCCTCCATTCCTGGCCACTGTCAATTCTGTCTCTACAGTCATGAATTCTCCGAACATACCCTTTATTTACTACTGTTGACTGGCTACAGGCTAGAAAAGCAAATAAAACTAAATCTTATTAGATGTATTTGTAAAAGGGTACTTATTTTGGGTACTATGCCTTTAGGAAATACCTGCTACACTCTCCCACCATACAGGCCTTGAGGGCTGGAAGCCTGCCTTAGCATTAGCATGTGCTGATTCAATGGACGCATGAGCTTTGTGATCCCAGGCCCACTTCTTAGAGGCCTTGTCTCCTTACTTTCAGGGCTGCAGCCATATTCTGAATGGTAGAGGGTGTGCACCAAGCAGGGCTGAGGAGTAGGTGGACTGACCCTGACTCAAGTAGCCAGAATGTTCCATCTTTGAACAATGTGGAACTAAAGAGTGTGCACGGGAACTCTGTTTTCTCATCCCCCTCACTGGTGAGCGGGAGTCTGTGATCTGGGAAAGGACCCAGCCCAAGGTGCACCTGGCAGAGCCAGACACTAAGTGCTAAAACGAAAGGCACATTCCAACCCATACTTCAGAGTTTCAGAATATCCCACTTGAAACCAAGCAAGACATACTGCTATATATATATAAAGGTTACTTAACCCTCAGGCCTCCCAAAAGGAAGGGAAGTATTAATAGCTTTCCAATAAGGATTTGTTCCTTAATTCAGCCAACTGAAAATCTAAGAAATATGGGGAAAAACCCACTGTGAAACAAACTGTACATGTTCCCTTCACACTGCCCATAACAAAAGCAACAAAAAGGGAAAATATAAACCCCTTTTTCTTTTTTGTTTTGAATTAGGAAACTCCAGTCCTTAGAAATGAGCAGCAACTCTTTGCCAAGGACCCACCTCCGCGCGCGAGTCCTTACTTCCAGGAGCCAGGCAGAACTGGCTGCTCAGGCCTCTGGGGCAGGTCCCCAAGGAGGGTGGTGGGCCCAAATCCCCAACATCACCTGCTGCCAGCATTATGCCCTCTGAGGGGCAGCCTCCTCCAGATCCTCCCTCTTCGCCTCCCTCTCCCCCTTGTCCAGTTTGCTCTCTAAGGTCTCCTCTCTTCATTCAATCCAATTCAAAAAGACATTTATGGAGCAGCCACCAAATGCAAGGAACTGTGCAGAGGCTCTCACAGGAGGGATGATGAGGACAATAATGTGTGTGTGCTCCTCTGCTCAGGCCCTGCCATTCCCCTCCCTTGGCTCCCAATCTGGTAAGACCAGTCCTATTTGCTTTTTTTCTATTAACTTACAAGTCCCATTTTGTTTAGCTATGGAACCTGGTATCTTGTATGACTGTGCTCAAATCAATAGTTCTTGGGTGAACAGCCACGTAAATCAGACAGACACACCCACAATAATGCTAACACATAGATGACTAATAAATTGCACAACAAAGGGGCAAATAGTTCCAAAACATAAAAAAATAAAAAAAAACACCCCCCCCCAAAAAAAAAAACAAAACCAAAAAAACAACAACCCACCAAAAACTCAAACAACCCAGAAGCGAGGTGGACAGACTTTATCATGGTAAGGACGTCTGAAGGGGCGGGATCTGAGCAGGGGACAGAGCCAGCGGTGTACTGCTTAGACAAAGGCAAGGACGGTGGGTAGGCCAGGCAGGGGAAGTGGTGGTGCTGATGGCAGGGCTGGATGTCCAGGGCTATGTGCATGTCTGTGGATACATACAGGCTTTGCAGAGAAGGGGCAGGGAGTGATTGGAAATGAAGCTTTATAGGTACGAGAAGGTTGTGCTTTAGAAAGCCTTTTATCAGTAATTTCATAATGAGATGGGATTTCACCCTGGAGGTACTGGTAAGCCACTGAAGTTTATGAGGAAAGTTGTGAGGGGCTCATATTTATGCTGTCGCAAGGGTTCTCTGGCAGTATGACAAGCAAGGCAGATGGGAGGGCTGAGTCCAGAGGCTAACAAGCCCAGAGAGCACTAAAGAACTGAGTCTCATTTTGGTGATCTTGGGTTTTCTGTTCCTCCAAGTGGCTAATAGTTTTCCAAGGAAAGACCTAGAACAATGATCATTTTGTAATTTTAATTATAGGAATATGCACTGTATTTTTTTGGCTAAGGGTTTTATAGCACCAAAAGAGAGCTCCTTCATCTGTTAGTAATCTGTGTTCAAAATACTTTTTCTTCCCACCCAACACAAAAGTGCACTGAAGTCCAGAAAGGCAAAGGAACTAAGCCTGAGGGGTAAGGAAGTCATAGGAGAAACAGATTTCCAGACTCAGAGGACTTCTGGAGCTCCCTAGAGCTAGCAACCTGATGATAAGATGTGGTGTCGGAATGATGATCTGAGCTCTGTGGGGGGCAGTGTGTGGGAAGTCTAAGGAAATCAGCTAGTCTTCCTTTCTAGAAGTCAAAACCAAGAAATGACTAAAATAAGTGCTAATTTTCTTTAAAAAGAATCCAAAACACAAAAACCTGCTTCTGGTCCAGAGAATTGTCTCCAGATATATGAACAACATATGTGCTTCATGATACCTGATCATAAGTGTACCCTTCCACTAACCCAGACAGACAGACACAAACTATTTGGTGGAGTGTAATCCGGGGCCCTATCAGCCTAAGCGTCTAGGTTGCTCTGTCAACCTTGCAGTATACCACTTGTGACTCAATTCCCATGCTGCCTATCCATGTGTGACTGGGCAGCTCAAAAGGTTTGAAAACCCTGGTGCTAAGGCCGAGCACACAAGCCCCATCCCACTGTGGCACATGAGCAGGTGGGCTAGGCTGAACTCCTGGCCTGGCCAAATGTCCACCATTAGCAATGAGCAGAGTCCAGCCAAAGTGCCTCATCCATCATTCGTTGAAGGAGGGGTAAATCCCTATAAATCTATCACTTGGTCTAAAAAACTGATTCACAGTCCATGCTTTATAGAGGGAGTCAAATATATGACCATCACATAAAACATAAAAGTTCTGTATTGGATGTATTTGAGTCTCAAAACTCAACTGTTCTCAATCCAGCCAGTGTCCCAAGGATTCCAATTCTCTCAGGTTGCCAACAAGTCCTATGTTACCTGCTTTCTTGAGACAAGATCCTATACTGAAGTCATGGAGTAGTTCAGCTAGATCTACAACCAAATCCTTAGAAGCATCTCAAAGCACTTGGTGAGAATTCCTTTTCTAAAACCCCACACCCACCCACGTTCTCACATTCATACATGCATTTGTGAACAGCATCTTGGGACTGTATAAAGTAGCATTAAACAAAGGGCAATGAATCCAAACCATTAAGGCCTCTATGAAATATCTGTATACAGACTGGTTTAACAAACTCAAAATCAGGTGAAATTATTTCTCCTTGGCTTAGTGATATGGATCATCCAAATACTTAAAAAATAAAACACAAATTGAGGGATTAAACTTTCTAGGTCCCTACACGTAGGAACCACATAGTTGAAGCTCAGTTTCATCAACTCCTTAGTAGATGTCATGATCATCTGCAAGACAATAGAAATTCTAAAATAGGAGGCTTTTGGCTTAAGTCAAAATTTATTTCAAGTGAATGTGTAAAATCTTAATAAATCTAGTATTATGTTTGACTGCTGTTGGGGGCTGCTCTCCTGAACTTATGGTAAACAATAAATTCCCACCTAAATTAATTTTTACCCTAGTTAAGTAATTCAGTCTACCTTTAAACAATCGCTTAAAATGTCCACTGAATATTTTAGGGTAGCATCTGATGTTTCTATCATAACTCTCAAATGAAATTCATCCTGATGAATATAATGAGAACCTTCTATGGCTTAAATTATACAGCCTTAAAAATACGATGTATGCCTTCTTTAGGACTTCTCACATTTAAGAGTGACAGACTTAAAATATAAAAGTATTCACAAGCCAACCCTGCAACTTCAAAGATGAATAAGTAAATCTTTAAAGATGAAGCTTTAGAAACAAATCTTGGTAAGTAGAAAATTAATTTACCTGAGCTACAATTATTTTAATTTAATTTGTGTAAGGGTCCAAAGAATTGTATATTTTATGCCCATTTTTAGAAGAGTCTCAGAAAAACAAAGAATGAACCATAAACCACTGTCAGAAATATTTCATAAAAAAATAGAATGAGTCACTACACTTTTTCAAAAAGGTAAGGGTGTGGTCCAAAGCCTAACAGAGGAAAGGTGCCTTATCTTCTGCATCGTACCTGCCAGCCAAGGAAGGTGTGCAGACAGGTAGAGCAAGCCGGCCTGTTTAATAAGATCTTTACCAACAAGTCTACAATGTTTCTCCCTCCGAAGGACAGTCTGTCTACTTCTGCCTGCCTCTTGTCTTGGTCATATCCAACCTTCAGCAAAAAACTTAAAGGGAAAAAAAAAAAAAAAGTAAAACACTGTACCTCCAAACCAAACTTTATACATATTCAAGTTCATTGAGGAAACCAGGAAGTAGTCAGTAAGCTACATTTTCCTTCTTGCTTCATAACCAGCCACCTTCTTATAAAACCCATTCATACATGAACTCAGACTTCTAGCATTGATCATTCCTTCTGAAAAAAGTTTGGGATTTGGACAGTAACAGCTCCTCTACTTACTACAACTATTTTACTACAATTGGCCATTTTACCACTTCCTGGCTCTGCCGATCTATTAAAAAATACACACGCACATATAATATGACATAATACATGTCACAAATGTTGGGTATCAGTAGCAGCTTTGAGTAGCATGTTTTACTTTCCCTTTTTATGGGTGTGGCTTATTACATGTTGTGATGATAAAAAATTCAGACAACTTTAAGACAAGACTACATGTAAGATTAAGTGGTAAAAAAAAAAAAAATTACTACCTGGGTAAGAATTTTAGAGCTGAAAGGAATATTAAGGACCATCTAGTATAACAGATTTTTGTCAAATTCTCTTGTTTTACAGATGTGGAAATGGAGGTCCACTTGACATTCTGTCTAAAACTTATGTTTTAGGCAAAACACACGCAGTGCTGTCTAGAGGAATGGAGATGGGCACCAACATGTACTGAATGCCCATTATGGTTGAGGACTTCACAAAGCAGCTCGTTTTAATTCTTACAACACAGCACGGCAGCTTTTATTATTCTCCAGAGTAGAGGTGGAAAGAATGAGGCTCAATATTTCCAAAGTCACATAGAGCTAGACAGTAGTGGAGCCAGGATTCAAAACCAGCTCTGCTTGTCACCACACTTATACATTTTTTTTAATTGAGAAAAGGGCTTGCTCTGTCTCCCAGATTAGAGTGCAATGGTGTCACAGTTCACTGTAACCTCAAACTCCAGGGCTCAAGCGATCCTCTTCCCTCAGCCTCTCAAGTAGCTGGGACTACAAGGGTACCCCACCACATCTGGCTCATTTTTCTATTTTTGTAGACACAGGCTCTGACTATGTTGTCCAGGCTGCTCTCAAACTCTGGGCCTCAAGTAATCCTCTTGCCTCAGCCTCCCGAAGTGCTGGGATTACAGGCATGAGCCACCGCATCTGGGCCTGTCACTACACTTTGGAGCATAGCACATGGCTTTTTTTTTTTCCCCCCAAGGTTGGGGATGGTAGGAGTGACCAAGCAGGAAGCCTGAGTTCTACTTCCCAACCCCTCACGTGCACTTGAAGGACCTGAAGAGAAGTCACTTCAACCTGGCTTTAGTGTCTTTATCTCCAAAGTAAGGGGGGTAGACTAGGATCTCTAATCTTCATGACTCTTTTTTTTTGAAGTTAATCTGCCTTATTCAAAGTCTATTCATGACTCTTTTTTAAAAATTCAAGAAATAGACTATAAGCAGACTTTCCTTCCACTAGCTCCTTGGAGCCTATTATATACCTATTCTTTTTTTTTTTTTTTTTTCTTCCACTAGCTCCTTGGAGCCTATTATACCTATTCTTTAAAAAAAAAAAAAAAATAGAGCATTCCTTTTTCTATGAGCCCCTTCTAGTGCCTGTCTCTTTAATGGAGCATGACACCTACTGGGCTACTTCACATACTTGGGCCCTCAAAGATACAGCCTTTTGGAAAGAGACTGAGAGATCTAGCAGGTCTTACTGTTTAGCAAGGTGGCTAACTTACTTTCTAGGTCTATGGATGGTACTTACTATAATCTGTTTAATTGGTTACTATGCTGCCATCTCCCTGCACTATGTTGTCTGTGAAGGAAGTCTGTAAGCCAGTAGGAAAGTCTCCATAAAAGCAACAATAAATTACTGATCCTGCTACCCACTGAATACTTGTCAATGACTGTGATACTCTCATAGTTTGTGAAACCCTTTGTAATAAAGTGCATCATCTCATTTGACACTGAATTGCCATTTGGCCTCTGTCCGAGATGGACTTTTGCTTGACTATTGCCATAGTGTGGGGGATGCTGAATGTAGGGTGGGACTCTGATCCTTTCTGGGCCCTTACTGAATATCTGCTACCCTCCAGGCACTGGGGTGCACGCCACACATCTCATCCTATTTGATTCTCACATCTACTCTATCTTGTAGGTATAAACGCTTATCTTCCCATCCATCTTTTAGAGATGAGGAAATTGAAGCATGGAGAGATTTGCCTAGGTTCATATTTCCAGGAAGCAGTGGAGATAGGACATACTCCCAAAGTGTATTCTCACTCCAGAGCCTGTTTTTAACTATTTACTAAAACAATCAAATTCTGTCAAATAACCAGAAAATAAAAGAGAGATGGGCGCTGATGTTTTCACCAGTGACCTCGGGGTACTTACAGTTTGGCCATCTTGTCCACACATGGCTATGCAGAGATGGTGTTACCGGGTGGGCTGCATGCAATGGCATTCATAGGCCACAGGCCTGAACATAAGCATTCTGGACTCTAAGGTGGGGCCCTGGCTGAACACCAGCCAACATTTAGAAGACTGGTTCTGCCCAAACTTAGAAGGCAGGAGGGCTGTGAAGCCTTAGCCAGAAGTGTCACCCTAGGATTGAGACCCTAAAAATCTGCTTCTGCTCGGAAACACTTCCTGTGGGGCCAAGTACCAGAATGCTGATTTACTAGGAGAGAGCCCACCCATGCTAGGCAGAGACCAACCAGCAAAGGTTCCCACCTGAGGGTGCTGAGAATGGCACTTAGCCTCACATTGTGCCATGTGCAGGCATGCAGCCACTGTGACATCACCCAGGCAAGAGCTTAGCTTTTTTAGGGACTAAAAGCAAAAGTGTTTGGAAGAATCTGAAAGACTAGCTAGGGAAGAGAAAGAGAGAACCAGTTATTGCACTTCTACTGGGCTTTAAGAAGGGAGTCATGTGGCTTTCAGGTGTTTGCTGATACCATTTATCTCAGGCACTGTTAGAGGCCATGTAAGAGCAGAGCCTTGGAAGGAAGCTGGGACTGTGAAAACAAGACTATAGAGTGTCCTATAAGAACACACCTCTACCTACCAGGCAAGGGGCTCTCTGGCATCTGCTAAAGAGCTTTGGAAATAGATGAGAGGCTAAAGGAAATGAAGACTGGGCTTGGAATCAAGAAGCCAGAGTCTACTCCCAGTCCTGCTGCTTACTAACTTCATGACCTCAGGCATGTCAGTTACTCTCCTGAGCCTCAGTCTCCCCATTCTATAAAACAAGGGAGAAGAGCAAGCTGATTGCTAAGGTACCCTGCAAGGCTCAGATTCTATGGGTTCTCTGTTTTCAGGAACAAATTCAACATTTTCTTTCTTAATTTATTGGATTTTATATTTCTACCAAAAGCTTCCCTTAACTTTCTTTCCCTATTCTTTGCTAATATTCAAAAAGAAAGCTGCCAGGAACTGTCTCTGTTAGCAATTTTCCTGAGCACGTTAGCAATTTTCCTGAGCACGTTCAGTTTTTTCAGTCAAGTATGGCATGTAGAAAAAGCACTATCAAAATACATCAAATATTACAAAGTGGTAAATGAGAGAAATCTTAAAAACTCCAAGTTAAACATGGCCATTTTTCAATTTTGAATGTTTGCATATCCAGGATCTATTCTGCATTTTACAACCTGGCAAGATATTCATGTTAGGGTAAAATTAGGCTTAGAAAGGTTAACCAACTTGATCAAAGACATAAAAGTAAGATAATGGCAAAGCCAAAATGTTTGAACTAGAGGCTCCATAATCTTTCCACCATAGATTGTTATCTTCCTAACCAACCTGTCTTTCTGCAACCTGATTCTTTGCTATCATTTCTTGATTTAGAAACATACACTTCACATACCGAAGTCAAGACTTATTTCAATAAGATTATGGCTAGAACTGTACTTGTCCCAATAAACTCACTTTGCTAAGGTTAAGAAATCAATATCACCCAAAGGTATTCCATTTCCACTGATCCTGAACAGGAGATATTCATGTCTCCAATAGCACAGAAAATCCAAAGAGTTCAATTGCTAAGTCTACATACTAGGAAGGCTAAGGTTTGTTTGGAGCTGACTGTGAAAAGATGAAGTTTTCCTGGCATTTCAGATATACTGGGATGAATGACTGAATTAGGTGGGACATGCAACTGTAGCCTTCTCACCTTCGCAGTTGATAGCCAGGAATGACCTGGCCATTTGTCTCTGGAAGTCCGCTTCTAAAGAGGAAAGCAAATGATTTTTAAAAATGCAAAAACAGGAAGGAACTAGAAGCAGCATGGCATTAGCCTCATTTTTTCCCCCCAGCAGGTCAATATCGAGACATCACCCCTCCATTTCTGCTTCAGACTCTATTACTTTCTATGGCTACCAGAGTGTGTGCATGTGTTTAAATACTTCCATATTTGGTAATTAGGATATGTGATCCCCTTTTCTCATACATGCCCTAATAAGCCATAGAAGCACCATGCCACCCTCTCAAAATGAAACATACCTGAAGACCCTATAATCCTTCCTCTAATTGGGAATGAGCTTTACCCATTTTTTAGTATCAATTTTTATACCACCGTAATCCCAATTTATGTCTATAAGAAATCAGACACAGACCTCCTAGCCAGACTATGAGAGGTTATTTATTTATCTTTAGTATTCTTAAAGACAAATGCAAAGTGTTTAAAGGAAACAGATCTATAGGACAAACATTAGCTCATATGGTGCTTTTCCAGGGTGCTGGACTAACGGTGAAAATGCAAAGCAAGAGGCCTAAAACTTGGCCATATCTGCTTAAGACTGGTAATAAAATGTTTCCTGCTGGGCTTTTAAGAGCTCTCTGCAACTTCAGCACCAAGGACTTAGCTCTGACCCACAGCTCTTCTGTAATTGGCTTTTATTGCTTTAATTAACCAAGGCTAGGTGGGACAGATTTATTCCACCTATAATGTTATTATTGTTGCTGGCTAGTGGCTAGCAGCAGCTCTTCACCCCTTGCACTTGATGCCTGGCCTCCAAAATTAGCACCTTATTATAGGCTGGCCTCTCTTCTAATTACCACATGTCTCAATTGAGCACTTTATTTTATTGTCTTGTTCATGCACTAGTTCAAGGCCTTGGGCTCCCCAACTATAATAAATCCTAAACTTCTTTTAGGCAGGTGCTGTGTTTTGAGTTTCTTATCTCTTTAAGGCTCATGAGAGCACTAGAGACTCGCAGGCATGCAAACACTTACTGATTGTCTGAAGAGTTTCTAGATGTCTTTTCTGAGTATGGCACACAGTTGGAATCTGGTCTTCATACATGCCTACTCAGGCCTAGTACCAGATCCATCAGCCTTCTCCGCTGTTGAAGGCCCTCTCCTTAGCTAATTGGAGTTAAGTTCTACTCTGCCCCTATATAACCTTTTTCCTTATCTAAAAGGGTGAGCTGAAACAGACTAGGAACTTCCCATCAGCATCACATTCCATATTCCTCTAGAAAAAGAATTCAAGGGATGTGATTTTATACCTGAACAGACTCCTTGGTTTTGGAATTAAGACTAACTACAGTGCCTCCTTTATCAAATACTCTGGTGAATGAAATGGAGCCTGGGGGAAGACTGTATAAGGTGATGGTTAGGAGTGCAGGCCTGAGAGCTAGAAATGCCTGGTCTGAAATTCTGGCTATGCTACTTACTATTAATTGTTATGTGACCTATAACCATGGTCAAGGCATTTAACCACTCTGTGCCTTAGTTTCCCAATCTGTAAAATAGGGATAATAGTACTTGCTTCAGAGGGCTGTTGTGAAGACTGAATCAGTTAATCTTTATAAAGTGCTTAGGACAACGCTTGGCACATAATAAGCAGTAAGTGTTAAAGAAAATTAATAGAGTATAGGGTTTTAGAATAGACAGACCTACAAAATAGTAGGCCCCCAAAATAATCTGATAGCGACAGAAAAACAAGCTGGTTTAATAGAATAATATGCCATCCTTGACTTCTCAGTTTTTCTGGCTATCATACATTCTTTGAAATGCTTCCATAAAACTAAATAAGAACTCTGAACTTATGGGTTTTAAAGATGTCTAATGCACTATCATAGCAAAGATGATAAAAATGTTCTGGCAGCATTTAAGTAGCATGATTAGTGAAGGTGTCATTGTTTTCGTAGAAAACTTTACTGTTTATACCTCTCATATCTACTTAGCCTAATATTTCAGACATCATTCATAACATTATTTAGCAAATACTGCTGACCCTTTTCCAGCATGGAACCTTTTGTCCATTGTCAGGAGGATAGTTCAAATGTTCCATATATTTTTTTTTGAGATAAGAGTCTCGCTTTGTTGCCCAGGCTAGAGTGAGTGCCGTGGCTTCAGCCTAGCTCACAGCAACCTCAAACTCCTGGCCTCAAGCAATCCTGCTGCCTCAGCCTCCTGAGTAGCTGGGACTACAGGCATGTGCCACCATGCCTGGCTAATTTTTTTTTCTCTATATATTAGTTGGCCAATTAATTTCTTTCTATTTATAGTAGAGACGGGGTCTCACTCTTGCTCAGGCTGGTTTCGAACTCCTGACCTCGAGCAATCCTCCCGCCTTGGCCTCCCAGAGTGCTAGGATTATAGGCATGAGCCACCGCGCCCAGCCAAATGTTCCATATTTTAAAAAACATAGTGTAAGATTTTTATATAAAGATGACTCCACGGTATCCAAACTCATACTTTTTTTCCCCCTGTGTCTCTTCTGTCAATTTCCTGCCACCTTTTAAATCCTCAGTCCCCTTAGAAACCTTAGCTATTAAAAGCCCACTTCCAAGGTCTTTCATTTCTGAGCAATCTCTAGCACAAAATCCCATTTCTAACATTAGTAATCCCTTGTTATCTTAACACATAGAGTTCCTTACATGAAATCCAGCCATCCAACCAAACACAAAGTCATCTATGTGCCACAACAGGTGGGGCAACTGTGCCTTTGTTGGGGAGGAAACCCTCTGGCTTCACCTCTCCAGGTTTCCCTGGAGGGCAAAGTCCAACCTTGCAAGATGTGTTTCCTTTAGGTGCACCTGTAGAGGACCACGTAGAGACATAAGAAACACCTAATGTCCAGTCTATTAAGAAAAAGCGATCATCAATTTTAGAGCTCAGCAGTTTAGTGATTAAGAACGTGGGCAGGCACTTCCTCTGTGTCTTTCTCAGACCCACTTCCTAGTCCCACTGTGTCCACTGATGCCACCATCATAGCTCTAAACACCATATTCTGTGGTTCCGTTGGCTCTGGAGACTTCACTTCTGCCTAGGGAGCTTCTCTGGGTATAAAGTGTGTTTTACTTGTTTTAGCATTCCAAAGCTACCACAAAGCCCACCCATAGTAGTCTCCCACTAGTTATCTGTGAAACTGTATCTGCAGCCATTGTCTAAGAAACTATGTTTTGGATGATCATGCTGTCAAGGGTTACTTTCACTTTTGAGAACAAAAAGGTTACTCAAAAATGGGACATCAGTAAAGTCATCAGATGCCTTCCTTGCTTCAAACAATTTGGGTTAACTTGCCCCACTTATCCACAAAACTCTTTTAAAACTTGTACCTTATCCTGTCTGTCCCCACTTAATGGGCTCCTTCGGTGACCCCAGCTTCACCTTGCAAGTATCCTCTGTGGATATCCAAGGCCCATACTCCCACTCGGCCAACGCACGAGGTTGGCTTTTTTTCGGGCAGCCGTCCGCAGCTCCCAGCGGATCACTCCCATCAAACTGGGACTTCCAGTTCCCACTAGGAAACGCTGGGGACACATGGTCACTGCGCATCTCGCCAGCGCGGGTTATCAAGACCCTCCCCGCTACTCCCTTTGGGAAAATGCCCTGGCGACCACCACCCGAGGGAAGGGGACCCTGCAAGGTACTGGGTCAGCGTTCAGCCAGAGAGAGAGAGAGAGAGAGAGAGAGAGAGAGAAAGAGAAAGAAATTGCGGGGGGCGGGGGAGGGGCAAGCAGAGAGCGCGAGCAAGAGAGTAAAGGAGAGAGAGCGTGAGCAAGAGATATTCCTGGGTGGAGGGGTGGGGATGCCTCGGGACTAGTGCCCTCCACTCCCAGCCCAGACCTTTCCCACCGAGAACAATTAAGAGGACTTCGTTGCCTCTTCTACATTCCTAGGGACCAGAGAAGTGGAGGAGGGGGGAGAGCGGCCACTGGCCAATCACGACTTCCGCCTCTGTCTCTGTCTGTCTGTCTGTCTGTCTCTTTCTCTCTCTCTTTCTCTCTCTCACACACACACACACACACAGACACACACGATCTGCTACTTCAGCTCCAGCTCTGAGCAAAGTACGCCGCGCGCCTCTCCCACTGTGAGTCCCCCGGCCCGTGCCACTCGCCTCATCCCAGCTTCTCCGCTGCGACCCCAGTTTCCCCTCCCAACTGACCGTGAAGCCGGAGGCAGTTTCCCAGTCCCAGGCCCCCGGTGGGGCTCCTGCCGCCGCCGCCGTCGCCTCCCCCTGCAGTCTCCAACCCGGGACACGGCCCCGGGCTGCGGTGATGGCTCCTCGGCACGAGGCGCCGCGGCTCCCTGGGCTCGGCCAGACACCGGGCGGCGCGCAGGAGAAGCCCATGGAGCTCCCGGCAGTGGCGGCGGCCGCGGCTGCAGGAGCGGCCGCCGCGGGGGCTGATGACGCACGGACACGGAAGGCACGGTCGGCGCGGAGGCGACGCGAGCTGATGACGTGCGGCTCGCGGGGCGGCTCGGAAGCATGGCGTCCGTGTCGCTGAGCGAGGCGGAGAAGGTGTACATCGTGCACGGCGTCCAGGTAGCTACAGCAGCGGCGACGGCCGCCGGGTCCCACTGGCCCCGAGGGTGGCAGCCGAACCTCGGTCCGCCGGGGAGCAAGCGGCCGCGAGTCTGGGTCACCTTGTGATTAAACAGTTCTGCGGCCGGTTTGCAGCCCCGGAACGGCAAAGGACTGTTGGCGTGCTTGCCGCTTCCCTGGTCTGGAACGGAACCCGGGCAGGGGCGTTGGGCAGCCCTGGGGCCTTTCAGCCCTCGCGCACTTCATAGGGCCGAGCCTTAGTTTTCTCTTCTAGGAAATGGGGGGTTTGGAGGTGGGCTTTCGACCCGCTTTTCCTCACCTCGTGGTTGGGAAGCGCAGAGAAAGAATGCACCCGAGGTGAACGCGCTTTGAGAGTAAAAATCGCCTTACGTATAAAAGGGGAAGAGTGTTTGAAAAGCGGCTCGGCAGATAAGGGCTTCCGTGCTCAGCCTTCAACCCCTGGTTTTGACCATTTCAGAACGAGAGTTGAGTGTTGGACCTGGTAATGAACTACCCCGCATCCCTCTCTGGCTTTGTCTCCACCTGTTAACCCACGGAGCGGTCCTCCTGTTAGGGTTCTGGGGCAGCCCCTCCCCCTTTCCTGCATGCCTTTCCTCTGCCAGGACGGCTGCAAAGTCAGTGGTCGGGTGATGCGATGTAGCCATCAGATTGAGGCGGCCAGCTATCATTCAAGCTCCACAATGTGAGTTAACGCCATGCCCATTTTTCAATCGTGCCTTGGTTTTGGCTTCTGTGCCTATTATAGACAAACGCCAACGATTAGCCGACAGGTTGAATATTAAATCTGCATGATAAAGTCAGAACTCATAGTTTCATATATTAGTTATAAATCAGGATCAGGAATAGTGAGATATATGTGTGTATTACTGGGTAGCATGTGTATGTTACTTGTATTTGACGGGGTATAAAAATGCTCAAAAGCATTTAGATTTGTCTTTCCCTGCCTTGTTTTTGCGTCTGCTTTGTTTCGGTGATTTTTATCCTCAAGGGGTGCATCTTGGGGAGGCATTAAGTAAAACATTTTGCCTCTAAGTTGAAAAACCTTTGGTTTGCTTTCTTTATTACACAGCCAGGAAGTATTGATTCTGTCATGGATCCTATTTACTCTCATATTCCATCTCTGAAAGTGGAACCAAGGGATGGGGGTGATAGGAAAGCCAAGTGTGCCTTCTTTGTAACCTCCCAAGGTAGAAATATCTCCCTAACATCCATGGCAACTCAGTAGCTGTCCAGCAGCAGAGACCCACTATGATCATAAGTCCTACTTTATTACTGCTATGATGACAGTAAATCACTTAATATTTATTACACACCTGTTATTTGCTGTGTGCTGAGGGGAGGAAAAGAACATAAGCCTAAGTTCTGGCCCTTGAGATGGCTAGGATCTAGTTTGGGCAAAGTTAGTTTTATTTACTGTCATATACCCAGCCCCAGCATATTATGTGGGAAATAGTTGAGATGCTAAAACGTAGTTGTGAAGTAAACAAATGAAAAATAGAACAGAGTAAAGATGGATAAAGACAAAGGAACCTAAGATACTTACCAAGGGAGTGGTATAGTTAGTGGGACTCAAAGGAGTTAAAGAATACCAGGGACTTGTAATGCTCCAAAGTCTTCCCTAAGGAAGTGGAATTGCTCCCCTAAATCCATGTCAAGTGTCCCTCCGGTGTTTCTTCAGGGCTCAGTATTCGCTCAGCACAGAACTGAACTAAGCTGAGAGGATGGGAAGGAGCCTGCCCTTATATAGCTCCCATGTAAAAAGCAGGTACAGAAATCACAGCTCTATTTGTGTGTTTATATATAAAATTGTACTGAGTGCTATGAAGGAAAAAACAGGGGTGCAGTCTAGTCTGGGATGTCAGAGGAAGCTTCCCTAAGGAAATGGCATTTGAGTTGAGCTCTCAGCATGACTAAGAAGTAGGCATGAGCCTTACAGAAGGAAGGGATGGTGAGTCCACAGTGTAAAGTTTTCTGACAGTGAAAGAAACAGAGAGCGAGAGTGGGGCCAAACAACCCTTGCTTCATTGAGTGCTTCAGGTGAGGTTTGCGGGGCCCCAAGAGAGGGGGGCCAAGAAGTCAGGTCCGTTTAGAGGGGGAGTGAGCTTTTATACTGTTTGGGGTGGGCTAGGGACTTTTGGCGGGAAGAGCCTGGGTGACCTTTGGTGGTCATTGAGATATAGGAGGGACTGGCCATATTTGTGGAACCCAGGAGCCAAAACTTTCTTATTCGAGTAGACATCTGGGTGTGGTCCTTTTCAGTGGGGCCTGGCAGGTTGTCCTTGGCGGGTCTGGTCTCATGAGCCTTTTCTTTTTGATATAGGGAGGGGAGGGGGACCCCGCCACCAGCCTTACACACACAGGTCCTCAGGTGGAGAAAATGTGGAGCTGCAGGGGTGGGCTGGGGGCAGTGGTGGAAGATCAGCTTGCAGAGTTGGCCAAAGGCCTGATCCGGGGTCTTAGGGGCTCAGTCACTCCCTAATTGTGGATCTAGGAAGGTAATAGTCTGTTGACTTATCTGTGGAAGACCCTTAAGGCCTACCCAGTGTCCAGCACTTGGTAAGTACTTAGTAACATTGAATAAGTACTGTAGACTTTAAAGGGAGATGAGTTAGACAGTGTTTATATTCTTTTCTGGCTTGCTTAGCTGGCTAGATGTGTGTTTTCTTCACCCAGAAGAAGACGTTGGTACCTCCATCTTTAGCCCAGGGATTCCGAAGCCTTGAAATGTGTTTTACTCACCCACAAAAACAGATTCTCAAGCTTTACTCCAACCTTCTGAATCTGACTCTCTAGGGTTTGGGCCTGAGAATGGACATTTTTATAAAGCGTTGAGAGATTTTGATGCAGCCACTGGACGTTGGCCTGTAGGTAAGCCACTAGCCTGGTCCAGACTAGAACCTGATGTAGGAATCTCTGCTCCTTTCTGCCTGAGGTCACATGGTCTCCTGCCTCTGGTTGAATGGGGATTTGGAGTTAGACTGCTCAGGCTTCCTCTCCCAGCTTCACCATTTACAATAAGTGATTTTACCTGAATAACTGAGCTTGCTACCTGCTATGTAAAATGAAGACATATCCACCCAGGGGTGGAATGAGGTTATAAGGAATGATGAGATAAGAGATGCCATACACCAGGCATGTGGGCAACCCTGAAAAAATGTTGGTTCCCTTTCAAGTTGGTTTTTCCATCAGAAGTGTGGCTTTGTTCTAAACCATCCACACTACATCCCTAATCTTCACAGTGACCCCATTAAGGGTTTGTCTGTGGCCGTTGAGATTTAAGCTCTTTTGCTTTGGCAGGCTAGGGATTCTTAAATTATCTCAAGGAAAGGGGGATTTGTGACAAGAGCTAGAAAGTCCCCAGGCAGGTCTGGGGCACCACCTTTTATGGGCTCCATCACGGATCATCTCATGGTCTGTATGGCTATGTCTTTATGTCTCTGGTGACACCTCTGCTTTTCTCTGCCAGAGTTTATCCCTTGTCTGCAGCCACTTGTTGTCCAGCTTCCCTCTTGCCTTGGTAAAATCTGCCTTTACTTTTGTGTGGCCTCTCCAGCTCTGCCCCGCCCCATCTCATCTCACATCATGGCCTTTCACCTCCTCTTTAACTCCCTTTTTCTCTGTTTTCTAGATTAGAGATCAGATTCCAATGAAAGAATCAATTAGACCTGCTAGTATTTCATGCCAAAAAGAGCTGGTCACCCTATGGATTATATGTATACCTACCCCTGGTCCTGGCTGTTGGGTGGATGGTAACTCTGTTAAGTGGTCTCTACAGAGCTGTAGGCACAGTAAACTTTCTCCAGTTCAGTCTACTGGGTGCTGCGGCCATGAACGGGACAGTAAGCTGGCCCTCATAGGTTCAGACCTGGCCATGGCAGTTGATCAACCCCACCAGAGAGGCTTCTTTCCTCTTGGCCTTCCTGTCAAAGCCATTTCATTGTATGTTCTTGGCTGTTGAAGGGAGTTGTAGCTCAGCTGATGGTTTCCATTTCTTTTCTGTGGGCCGACCTTTTGTCAGAAGCATTGCCTAGGGGAACAGTGCTGAAGAGGGAGAAGAGGGCCTGAGCCCCGTTTTTAACTCTGAGATTGAGCAGTCAGTATTCAGTTGTTCCATCTGACCATCGCAGAACTGGATCCAGCCCTCAGGACTCTTGATTTTTTAGCCCTGTGCCCTTTCCAGTTACAGACCCGTGGCACAGAAAGCCTGTGGCCAGGCACTGTGGGGTACAGCCTTTGTGGAGCCACATCCTTTCAAAGGAATGGAGGGCCACTCACCAGGCCTAGACAGCGAAGCAAGGATCAACATCTAGTTTTGCCTGCTGTGTCTTGCTTGGGCCTCAGCCTGCAAAGCTGGACCAGATGTGGTCTCTTTCCTGAGGGGGGGTCGCTTTGTAGTAGGGGAAGCATTTTAGTCTCATTTCTCCCCTAGGAAGCTCTGAGATATTGGAAAATTCAAAGCAAGAAAATGATGGGTTAACGTCACCTCAGGGGACTACGTTGAGTCTGGAATCCCCCAGGTGTGTTGGATTAGTACAGCCAACTTGTCAGTTCCTATTAAAGACTAATAGGACTGGGCTAGCTGGGTGTGAGGGAAAGCAGCTCTGGGCTGAGTTAAATGTCCTTCTGCTCTGTCACAAATGGGAGATTGAAACTCGGCATCTCAGTTTCCTCATCTGTAACCTCTCTCCAGGAGTGTTTTTGAGAATGCAGTGAGCTAATGCATGCCCCCCAGAAGCAGGGGAATGGAACTGTTTTAGGAGGACTCCTCTGTGTTACACTGCGGGGGGCTCCCCTTAAAGATTTGTGATATTTGGTTTCCCCTATAACTTGGTAAAGTTGGAATTATTCCCACTTCCTACATAAAGAAACAGGCTCAGACCTGTTGAGGAACTTGTTCAAGGTCACAAAGCTAGTATGTGATAGCAGGAGGTGTGCGTGTGTTTGTGAGACAGTCTTGTCAGTCATCCAGGGTAGAGTGCAGTAGCATTATCATAGCTCACTGCAGTGTTTTATTCTTGGGCTCAAGCGATCCTCCTACCACAGACTCCCAAGTAACTGGGACTACAGGCACACACCATAATACCTGGCTTATTTTTCTATTTTTATAAAGTAGAAATGGGGTCTCGCTCTTGCTCAGGCTGGTTTCAAACCCCTGAGCTCAAGTAATCTTCCCACCTCAGCTTTCAAGAGTGCTAGGATTACAGGCATGAGCCACTGTGAATTGCAGAAGTTTAAATATAAGTTGGAAGGTGACTCTTTCTACCACACCACACCCAGCTGGTAGGGTTGTTGTCATGGATAACAACTATGAAAAGTCGCCAAGAGCTATCCCTGCATCCAGAAGCCCTTGGTCTAAAAGGTGCTTCAGTCTCCTCTGCTGAGAAGGGCAGGGCTCCACCCCATGCTGCTGTCCATCAACTGTTGACATCTCTTAGTATTTTAAAACGGAACTTACACTTCAGGGCAACCCCTGTTTAAGTGTTCACACGTGGATTCAGTCCTTTGCTCCTGAGTACTGCAGATAAATAAAATTTGTGATGGCACCAGGCCAGGCAGGTTTGGGCAATTTCCTAAGGCTTTTATAAAGAGAACTGGATTTTTTAAAAAAAAGTTTCCCTGGGTACAGTGGGTCATGGACTGGTTAGTTTGGTTTTGGGGTTTTGTTTTTTTTTTTTCTTTTAGGTGCTTTTCTTTCTATGAAACAAAGAATATGCCCTAGGCAAATTTGGAAAGGAAAATTTTTTAGCTTTTCTTTTATCTCTTATCACCTGAGTCTTCCACAGGAGGCAGAGAGTGAATTAGAGGTTGGAAAGGCAAGATTTGATGAGGTCCTGTTTTCTGATACCCTTCCAGTCCTATCCTATAATAGAACAAATAGGTTTTCACTACGGAGAAATGTGACTAAATCTTTCCAGAGTGAGTGGTATTTTAAAAGCAGTGGTTGGAAGCCCTATGGCCTACCTGCTTTCAGAGCCAGCAGCATCATTATCAGGACCACCTGGTGTAGCCAGCCGGCTCCTCCTCTGAAGGAGGCCTGTGCCCTCTCCCTTTGTAAAGTGAAGAGACCCTTTAGAATGCAGGAGGCTGTGTGGAACAGTGGTTAAGGGTTCTGCTTTCAAGTTCAAATGCTGCTCACTGGCTATGTGACCTTAGGCCAGTCATTTGGCATCTTTCAACCTCAGTTTTCCCATTTGTAAAATGGAATAAATATTCTAAAAGGGCTATTGTGAGAATTAAATGCATTAAATGTGTGGTGTTCCTGATATATTATCTGGTATATAGTAAATGCACAGTAAATAGTAGCTGTTACTATTGCAAATAATTGCAGTCATTTAAATTTATAGATCTGTAGAATTAGAGAATCACCTTTGAGACTATCTAATTTAATCTCCATCTTTTACAAATGAGAAAACTAGTCCAGAGTGGGGGAAAGGGGCTTGTCCTAGGTCAAGTGGCTGGTTGATGCCAGGACCAGGCCTGGAACCCTTGAGTAATGCTCCTAGTGATTGCTCACACTTATGCCATACCCACAACCCATGAAGGATTGCTCATAAAATAAGTTTCTGAGCCAGTTTTCACTCTCCTAGCTAGGCACACTTAGGAGGTGGGGCAAAGAGGGGTAGAAGGAGTGGGGTGTCAGAGGTTGACCTAGAAAGCCTTCAGGTTCTATGGGTGGCGTTGTGAAGAGACCCAGTTACATACTTATGAGATCCTCCAGTGACGGGGGATCACTTTCCGGAGTCTTACCCACTAGGCTCACCCTGCCAGACTTGAAATTCTGTTGCTTTTCTAGCACGTCTCCAGACTGGAGATAGGAATTGCTTCCAGCGAGGGAGTGGGCTGCAGAGGGGCTTCCACCTGATTTATTGTGTTTATTTTCCTCATTTAAAAGGAGTTGAGAGGGTGAAAGAGCTGGAGCAAATATGACAGATGATAGTAATTCGTGCTATGTAGTGGGAGCATGTGGTAGAGTTTTGCTTTTCTCTATTTAATTTTTCAAAATAAAAAAGTTAGTCACATCTGCAGTTAGACAGTTTTAAGATAAGTTTCTGACAGTCACATACTGTAGAACAGTGAAGTTTTTTGATTGTTAGTTTGTTTATTTATGTTTTGGGGGAGCATCAACTACTTTTAGAATCTGCTTTCAAAAAATATTTACAAAGATTGAAGATCTCTGTGAGCCCATGTGGACTGATTTCCTACATATATTGTTAAGTGTTTTGTTTTTTTTTTAAGGCCAGATGTAAAAGTGTTTCACAGCATGCCACTCTACATATTAGAAAAGAATATAAAAAATATTCAGTATCTGCTCATTTGTGCAGAAGAAATATAAGAAAGATGAACCAGAAACTAAAGAGATAGGTTACCTACCTGGGGCGGGTAGGAAAGGGGTAAGAAGGGGGCATTTGAAATAGCATAGTCCAGACAAGGGAAGAGCAACGGTTCTCTCTCAGAGCTTACTTTTCCAAGAGCTTTGTGTCTTAGAACCATAGTGACATTACACATACCCAGAAAGTAAATAAGTAATTAAAAGGAACCAGGATGGGGGTGGGGGACACAAAATGGAATACAAACAGTTACAAATGAGCCTGTGTTACACATTGAATAATATAACCACAACAAAGGGCATGGGGAAGAAAAGAAACAACTTAAGTAACTGGAAAACAATATTTTGACTAGGTACTATAAAGCTAAAGACAAAAAGAACTTCATACAAATACTGTGTTAGAAAATTTGTTTCTCATGGGGTATGGGTTAGAAGTTCTGAAACTATGTATACTAAGACTGAACAAATAATGTAAGTACATTGTAGATAATGAGAGCCAGCCTTCTCCCTGGCTGAGAAAGAAGTTACAGATATTAATAATAAAAGGGGAAAGGTGAGAATGAACCCTGTGATGTTAGATTGGAACTGAACTATCAGTGTGAACTCATGGCTTTTTGATAGATATGTAGATAGTTACAGAATTAAATGTAAATGTGTGCATATGTGTGGGTTAGTATACATACATATATTTTCTAGCTCTGTCTGCTGGAAAGGTCTAGAAGCAATGATACTCCAAAAGCTATGAACTTAGCACCCAGATCCTGGCTTTTAAGTATCATTCTCCAGTATGAAAGAGTTGACTCCCAGGGCTGGGACTGGGAAAATATAAGAGGCTGGAACATCTTGTTTTGTCAGAAAGTAAACAAGTACTCAGAAAAAGTTGGAGGCATGTTGAAAAAGCACAAGAACTAACCCAAATAGCCAAATCTGGAACACTTTGGGCAACAAAGTAAATGATGATAGCATTAGATTGTAACCGTGACATGAAAGAGTCTGTATCTATGAGTTGCACTGATATAAATAAGTAATTGAAGAAATAAATACATGGGCAGAAAGGACAGGCAGTGCATAGAACGCTCTGAAAGCCATCAGAAAGGGTTGGCAGACTTGCCCAGAAGGGCTAGATAGTGAAGACTTTGGGCTTTACAGATCATATGGTCTCTGTCCCAGCCACTCAACTCTGCTTTTGTAGAGCAAAAGCAGTCATAGATAGTACCCAAACAAATGGGCATGGTTGTGCTTCAGTAAAACTATTTATAAGAATAAGTGGCCTGTAGGCCTTAGTTTGTTGACCCTGTTCTAGAGAATGCCTCTTTTATAAGAAGATTGGGCGTCTTTAATTGTTTACACAGTAGATCTCGTTAAATTTGGGGGGAGGGGTAGGAGGGCTGCAGTTGAGATAGTTGTAATCTGTAGCTCTGACAACATGCACTTTGGTACAATTTTAGAATTGCAAATTTGGAGTAGAGGTGGTTTATTTTGTCTCTTGTTCAGATTTTGTTTGCATATTCTTTTTTTTTTTTTTTTTTTTGGCTGGTCAAGTGGAGCAGTGGGAGGTGCATATTCTGTATAGGGGTATGTAGTATGGAATCTGCAATCAGACCTACCTGGCAAGGGAACCTAGCTTTGTCCTCACTAGCCGTAGGACCTTGGACAAGTCTCAACTTCTCTGAGTCTCCATTACCTCATATGTAACATAGTAATATTGTTATTAGCTATGAGGACAGAATTTTGGATGATCCACTAAGAGAAAAGGAGATGTTGTATTTCCCTGGGGGAAAAGGAGTGAATGAGTAAAGTTTAGGAGTCTGCTGTTGGTTTGGGATGACAGCCTCAGGATTGTGCTTGTTGCACTTAGGAAGACCTCCGTGTGGATGGCCGTGGCTGTGAGGACTACCGATGTGTGGAAGTGGAAACTGACGTCGTATCCAACACCAGTGGGTCGGCCAGGGTCAAGCTGGTGAGTACAGTGGCCACAGTTCATGCCCAGGTGGAGAAATGGGTAGGCCCTAGAGAACCAGCTGCAGACCCCTCTTGGCTTTTGGAGTACAAATCACTCCTGGAGAAATCCAAGACCCAAGCCAACCTCAGGGAGGGGGGCCTATCCAGATCCGAAGAGCTCCTTTCCTCCTCAAAAGGCCACTTTACAATTGCCAGCACTGCTCCTAGGAGAGTCCCCCAGGGGCTCCAGAAGAGGAGGGGTTGATGGGGCACCTGGCTGCCTGCTCTGAGTGGGGACCCTTCTCTCATGTGTCCGCAGGGTCATACAGACATCTTGGTGGGAGTGAAAGCAGAAATGGGGACGCCGAAGCTGGAGAAACCAAACGAAGGCTACTTGGAGTTCTTCGTTGACTGGTCAGTACTATGCAGATGTTTCTAAAGAAAAATGATTTAGGCCGCACGGGGTGCTCACGCCTGTAACCCTAGCACTCTGGGAGGCTGAGGTGGGAGGACTGCTTGAGCTCAGGAGTTTGACACCAGCCTGAACAAGAGTGAGACCCCCATCTCTACTAGAAATAGAAAAAATTAGTTGGGTGTGGTGGCGGGCACCTGTAGTCCGGCTACTAGGGAGGCTGAGGCAGGAGGATTGCTTGAGCCCCGGAGTTTGAGGTTGCAATGATACCACTGTACTGCAGCCACGGTGACAAAGTAAGACTGTGTCTCAAAAAAAAGATTTTAAAGATGAAGATCCAGAAAATGAATCTCTAGTTTCCTGTGGAGCCCACTTTTATTTTGTATTTATTTAATCATTCAGCCACTCAGCAGGCATTTACTGACCTCCTCCTATGTATCAGGTACTAGGAGGTCTTGGCTCAAGTCCTGCCCTTGTCTTAATCACCTGGCCATTGCTGGGCCTTATTTTCCCTGTCTTAAAAAGGAGGACATCTGCCAGGCAGCCCAGCACATAGTGGTTATGAGGGCCAAATAAAATGACATGTGTTACAGTGCTTTGACAAATATCAAACACAGATAGTAAGGATCATTTGGTCTAAAATGTCCTGTTTCTCTTCCTGCTCTAGCTCTGCAGAAAACTGTTCATGATTTGCTTGGCAGATGAGGCCAAGGGTCAGCCAAGCAGCCTGACAGGCTGAGGAAGTAGCAAGCCAGCAGGCAGCATGGGTGCTGGGAAGAGTGAGGGCCCTGCAGGTCTGCGTCCAGCCTCGGGCCAGGGTCTCACTTCCTTCTCTGGCCAGCTGTGTGACCTCAGGCTAGTTACCCAGTCTCTCTGTGCTTAAATTTTTTCATCTAAAAAATGATTGTGGTGGTCATGAGGACAAGAAGATAGAGTGAACAATTTCTTTTCTTTTCTTTTCTTTTCTTTTCTTTTCTTTTCTTTTCTTTTCTTTTCTTTTCTTTTCTTTTCTTTCTTTTCTTTCTTTTCTTTCTTTTCTTTCTTTCTTTCTTATTCTGATTCACAATGATCCTGGTGGGCTTTCAATAAATATTTCTCTCCTCCTTGTTATGTCTACTTTCTAAGGGTTGGTTGGACGTTTTATTGGGTTGCTGGCCTGCCTGGTCCCATCTTCTGTTACCTTGCTTCTAGAAGCTAGGTGGTGACTTCTAGAAGCTAGGTGGTGACAGCAGGCCTTCTTTAAGTGGGTAAGGATCTCTACTGGTTAATGGTAAGCATAGGTATACAATGCTGATCCTGTACCGGGGTCTCCAAGACTACTTCCACATTTGGAGATAAAAGGACTTGCAGGACTTAGCATATAGTGGTACTTACTGTTAAAGTTTATTACAGCAATGTAAATGCGGTAACTTACTTGTGATGTTTCTTCCCAGGAAAGCCCGTTATAGACTTAGGACCCAAGATTTTTACTGCAAGCTGGTCACATAGGCATCTTCTGCTTAACACATAAAATTCCAAACTTCTAGAAGGAAAGCAGGTGTTCAGCACAGGCCATGTTACTTGCACAATCTAGGCACAGTGGACCACCCCCTCAGTTTACTGTTGACTGGGAACACTCTGAGAGCCAGGTTCCCAGCCAAGGGCCAGCCTCACACACAGGCCCTTCTAAAGATGGGAGCTTCAGGCTGCTGTGGCAGCCCTTTTCTGCACAGGTGATAACCTACTTTTGTAGCGGGAGTTACAGTCTTCCAGTCTTCATTTCCAGACACAGAAGTGGATTCTCACAGTAATCCTGTGAGAGAGATGCTCAGAGAGGGTAAGTGACTTTCCCAGAGTCACATAGCTAAAACTGCCAGTTCATGTCTATCCGACTGTGAATCTTGGCTCTTTCTACCTTGTTAAAAAATTTTAAAGAGTGAGATGGAGTCTCACTATGTTGTCCGGGCTGATCTGGAACTTCTGGCCTCAAGTGATCGTCCCACTTCAGCCTCCTGAATAGCTGGGATTACTGGCACGTATGTGCCACCATGCCTGGCTTCTTGCTACCTCATGCAGCCGACAGAAGCCAGCTTTAGAGGAGTATTGTACTTGCAGGTCCAAGAACTATCCATGTTTGTTTTTGTGGCCAGTTTTCCTTCCAGCCCATTCCTGCCCCCTGCCCTGACCTCTCAAAGCAATCTCTTCTCCTGGTTCTACCATAGCAGCTCTCACTAGTCCAAGCTGTCCAGTGGAATTCTCCCATTCTTTAAATTACAGTGGATATGGTGACATTGTTCAAATTCCCAGCTTATCCCTCTTGGAGAAAGCAAAATGCCTCTTCTATCCTTGATCTGCCTAATTCAGTGCAGTAAATAGTCACTGAGGAGCAGACACCATGTGTGAGGAACTGTAATTTGCTTTCCTTTTCTTCCTTTTCATTATCTTCTACCTCATTCATCTTAGGCAGACCAAAGACAATCAGCTCAACCACACCAAAGAGAGGGTGTTACACTCAGATGCTTGGTACAGAGGATACATTTCATTGTGGTTCTGTGTCTGAACATGACTCTAGGTGAGCCTGCTGCTCTTGTCCATTGTCCCAGCTGTGCAGGGAGGGTGACTCCAGTGTGAGAGAAGCCTTTGAACTGTCTCTTCCCAAGATCTGGCTCCTAGAAGTAGCCTTTCTTTTCTGGCTGAGAGTGGCAACTGCTTGCTGGTTTCTTTTCCTCCTTTGTAAGTCTCAGAAAGACCCCAACAGGCCCAGGAGCTCCCAGGTAGTTCCCTGAATCAATTTCTCAAGTTGCATAGTCTCTAGGTGCTACATTTTGGTTTCTTTAAGTGGCTCAGCTAGTGTGATCAGCTCAGCAGGTGGAATCACCCTGAGAGATTCACAAAACCCCATTTTCCTACAGAGGTAGGAGAGGTTACCAAGCACTGATGGCTGCCATTTGTGTCAGAACCTCACTTGAGTCTTCAAGGAGCAACTCTTAATTGCATGAATAAGCAAATCTTTTTATTTCAATCCAGTAAATAGGTATGGCTTCTGGGAATGTGTGGATGTGTCCAGCAGTAAGGGTGCCACACCCCCATCCTTACCCTGGCTCAGGCAGGGCGTCTCTGCTCGAGAGCTCAAGACACTGGCCTATTCATAGGCAGAAGCATAGTTGCTACCCAATGGCAGGAAAGTAATGGGGGTGGGGGGCAGAGGAGAGGTCCCTCCTGCCACTCTGAACCTAGCTTGATTTAGCTTTTTATCAGTAACTTCCAGGTTTTAATCATTTAAATTCCCAGGGGTAGAGTGGTCTCAGAAAGCTAATTGCTTTTCTGCTAGCTTGTTTCACTATAGTTTTGTCTACTTGGAATGATAATATATAGAGCTGATGTAGACACTATTTCCCATTCCCATAATTTTCCCTGTTTTTGGAAATGATGAAAAATCTTGATAGTTTCACAGCCCTTTGCAAAGTGTGCCCAGCTGCACTGACCCTGAGCCCTGCTCCAGAGATGCCTGGAAACACTTTCACTAAACTAGAAGCAAAATCAGACCACGGCTAACTCTTGTGTCATGTCTTCGATTTGCTAGTTGTAGCCTGAGAATAGGTCATTTTAAATGAGAACTTTGAAACTTTAGGAAAAGATGATTTCCATCTAAGGCTCAGAGGAAGGTAAAATTTAGCAAGATAGTCCTTTACTCTGTACTACCACTAGATGGAGGGCCATCAAGTGTCTCTTCAGCTTTTTGACCATTGTGTTGGTGGGTTTAGGAGGGGGGCATGGCCACTCAGAGAGGCTTGGGTTTTTAAGTGGGTGGATGGGGATGTTAGGAGATTGTTTTTTTTCATTCATAGACATTTCAGTGTGTCCAGCACTTGTCACTTCCCCTTGGGATCTTAGCTACTTTTCAATGTGATCATTTTTATTTTTTTACTAATATTGAACCAGAATCTTTGAGCCCTGCATTGTTAGGTGGAGCCATTGTGTTCCTTGCCTTCTTAGCATGGCTTAAAGGGGACAGTGTTCTTGACTGAGGGCAGGAGGTGGGCGCAAAGCATAGAGGCAACCTACAGAGCTGGTGGGATAACTCTCCTAGAAACTTCAAAAGGAGAGCTTATGACAAAAAGCGTAGAATGTGCTGCTCTTCCAGTATCCATTTACAGGGAAGCTTCTGCAGGCTGAGAAATGGGCACATGTACACACAGAGAAATCAGCCTTGGGACTTGCCTTGGGGCCAGATGACTTCTGGAGGGGTAAGACCTTGAGTTAGTTCTGCTCTAGGCACCCACTGAATCACTTTTTCTGCTGTGGGCCTGGCCTGACCTGTTGTAAGACTCCGTAGATTTGCAGACTAGATTGTAGGTTTGCAGACTAGATTGATTGTGAGGGGAGCAACAGTGGGCCCAGTGTCTAGAGGCCCATTCCAGGTGAACATAGCCTTGGTCTCAGTCTACCCCACTTAAACCAGAAATGTTCCAAGCAGGTGGAGCAGGGTGGAGGTGATGAGTCAGGAGAGGTGGAGAGCTGGGAGGGACAGCATTCCCAGGATCTTTATTAGTTTATCCAGCTTAGTAAACAGTTTCCCACAACTCTGGAAGAGGGACAGGGTCATGCTTTATCAAGGGCCTCAATGGGTTTTGGTAACTGTAAGTGCAGAGAAGGCCAGGCACGGTGGCTCATGCCTGTAATCCTAGCACATTGGGAGGCCGAGGTGGGCGGATTGCTCAAGGTCAGGAGTTCGAAACCAGCCTGAGCAAGAGTGAGACCCAGTCTCTACTATAAATAGAAAGAAATTAATTGGCCAACTAATATGTATATATATATATAATATAAACATATATATATATATAATATAAATATATATAAAATTAGCCGGGCATGGTAGTGCATGCCTCTAGTCCCAGCTACTCAGGAGGCTGAGGCAGGAGGATCCGCTTGAGCCCAGGAGTTTGAGGTTGCTGTGAGCTAGGCTGATGCCACAGCACTCTAGCCCGGGCAACAGAGTGAGACTCTGTCGCAAAAAAAAGGAAAAGGAAAACATTTGGTTTTATGCCCCCCAAAACCAAATGCATGTTCCCCTACTGAAAGAAATATATTTGATCATGTGAGCAGGGTTAGAATTACCAGTCTGTGTTTATTCTCTCTCTCTCTGCAACAGAGAAGCTTTTTATTAAGGGTTCCCTGCCCTCATTTGCATTCTTTGTTGACTTCAACATCTGTGGTCTATTAATAAATCCCAAGACCAGAGCACCCATTCATTACCTTGAGGCAAAAGATAAGCCCAAGGAAAGCTAATCTGCCTGATGGTAGACTACAAGGCAAACATGTGGAATGATAGATTCTGGGAGAGTACAAGGAAGCATAGCGGATGAGGGCCAGTCTGCCTAGGTTAGAGTCTCAGCTGCCCAGGCACTAGTCCTATGACCTTGGCCTGATTACCTAACCTCTGTGACTCAGCTTCCATATCCAAAATGGGGTCAATACTGTCCCAGGATTCAGTTTAAATAAATTTAAATAAATAGGGTTAAATCTGTTAGGGTTGCTGTGAGAATTAGATGAGTTAATACATCTGAAGTGCCTAAGAGTGGTGTTTAGTTCATACCAAACATTCAAAAAGCTGTTAAAATTTCCCTCCTTGTAAAATGAGAGAGTTAGACCATATATAGGGGTCTCTCATCCTGCAGGTCAAATCCTACTGTGAGATTTTTGTTTCATTTAGAGAGGTTTTTTTTTCAAAGGTAAATTAAAATTTTTGTTAGGGCTAAAAAGTTTGCCAACCTTCTGTGTTGCCTGTTACCTATCGTGGCCCTTTGTTCAGATGTATGTAGTTACCTGTAAGCATTTAGCCTGTAAGCATTTAGCCTTACAGGCTAGCCCCTGTAAGCATTTAGTTTTTTATCCCCAGGAGATGGTCTCTAAGGCCCTTTCCAGGTCCTCATTTCTGTCCAACTCTGTTGGAAAGGATCTTTGTTCTGTGAGTGCCCCAGTGATGAGGTGGAATCCTCATTTCTCTATGCCAGCCCCTCTCTTCGGCCATCAGCAGAATATGGGATCTCTGGCCTTCTTTATGTTACTTTAAAGCATTGTATCCTGGCCCCCACTGCACAATTGCCTTCAGTCTCCCCAGTCGCCTCCTCAGAGTCACTCCATGGCTAGGGCACCATCCAGACACGGAGCATTCCGTGGGCCATGAGTCTCCGAACTTTCCTCTGCCTGACTGCTAGCTATGTTGAAAGACTGACTTATTTAAAAAAAAAACCAGGCCGGACGTGGTGGCTCATGCCTGTAATCCTAGCACTCTGGGAGGCCGAGGCGGGCGGATTGCTCGAGGCCAGGAGTTCGAAACCAGCCTGAGCAAGAGTGAGACCCCGTCTCTACTATAAATAGAAAGAAATTAATTGGCCAACTAATATATATAGAGAAAAAATTAGCCGGGCATGGCGGCGCATGCCTGTAGTCCACTTACTTGGGAGGCTGAGGCAGGAGATTGCTTGAGCCCAGGAGTTTGAGGTTGCTGTGAGCTAGGCTGATGCCATGGCACTCACTCTAGCCTGTGCAACAAAGCGAGACTCTGTCTCAAAAAAAAAACAAAAAACAAAAAAAAACACCAAAACACTGTTTTAAAATTGGTTAAATTTCCACTTTAAATTAACCCATTGACAAAAAAACCAAAAACAAACAAAAGCAAAAAAACACAATGGAGCATGGTTTGGTAGGTAGATTAATTTGGGCAACAGGACCCTGGAAGTTCTGTAAACCATTCCCTAGGGCTGTTGAAGAGTTAATGCATTAATTCTGGATTAATGAGTCACACCCAGGAGGATATGCCCATCCCATTCAGGAAAAGATAAAACATTTTGAAACTGAGCATCTCTCTGACCGGATTTGTCTACATAGAGATCTGTATAGATGTATTTTTAAGCACTTAAAACATGGGACTTAATATTGATTGCCTAGCGTTTAAATTTGAAACAGGTTGTGTTTTGCTGGCTGTGCAAAGTAAAAGCTTGGTCCCTGGTGAGTTCATTATTTCACCATAAATGAGCTGATTTTCGCGGCTCGATGGCTGCGTCCAGCAGAGGCAGTGAGGGAACGGTGAGGTTGCTATGACAGTGATGAAGTTTCTCTTGGGGACTTTAAAGTGAGGTTCTGCTGGCTGGTAGTGGTAAGGGAAGACTAATTAGAGAAACAAAGTTATTATACAACAGTGTAATCTGTTTTAGGATCCAATCTTACACCTATATTATTGAGATTTCTTTTAGGGTTACCCAAATGGTATAGGCACAGCTTTGAGCCTTCACATAGGTTTCACTTTACCTGGAGTCCCCTGCCTCCCTGTGGCCTGACCAACTCCTACTCATCCCGGTTTGAGGTCCCCTATAACCCTGAATGCCGACTGACATCCTTGCCTCAGTTTGCAAGTTTGAACCTCAGTTTGCTTCCTTTCATGAACCCCCCTCCCCTACTTCACAGGAACTGCTGGCTTTGGGTCAACATATACAGATTTCTGGTGGCTGGCACGGGGCTGGGTACCTTCCAGGTGGATGAGGGGTCAGAAAATTTCTATATGTGATTTTTTTTTAGAGTCCATGCTGAAACAGCTAGCTTCCTATCTTTCTGGACCTTTATTATCATAGTAAAATAATTGCTGCAATGTTTATTTTTCTCACACACATATTAAGGATTTTTTTGTATTAAGCCAAAACTCTCAAAAAAGTTCTGTTAAACACTTGTGAGTAGTGTTTTCTGGGTGGCAAATGTTTTTTGTTTTTATTTTTAGAGACAGGGTCTTAATCTGTCACCCAGGGCTAAAATATAGTGGCACAATCAAAGCCCACTGCAGCCTTGAACTCCTAGCTCCTAGTGATCCTCTTACCTTAGCCTCCCAAGTAGCTGGGACTGCAGGCACATGCCACCACACTCAGATAATTGTTCTGTTTTTTGTAGAGGCAGGGTCTTGATATGTTGTCCAGGCTGGTCTCTGGAACTCCTGGCCTCAAGTAATCTTTCCATCTTGACCTCCAAAAGTGCTGGGATTTTAGGCATGAGCCACCATGCCTGTAGAATCCTATTAGTTCTTTGTTGAGGTAATTTGGCATGGTATCAAGAAGCCAAAAAGGAAAAAATGTTTTTCTTTTGAAAAATATCAATTAAAGGGGATAACCTAATATTTAATCAACCAACAGTCTTTCTCTTACTTTCATTCATTTTCCTTTTTTTCAGTACAGTGATAATGTAAAGTTTATGACATAACTGACATACTATCATACATGTCTTTTAAATCATTCCAGAAACGTTATTGTTCTTACATTGTTGTTTTTGTGTTGAAAGTATCATAGTACATTCTAAAGCGTGAAACTAGGGATGGTGTATATCAAGGGTCCCCAACCTATGGTGAGTTGCGTAATTATTTCATTATATATTACAATGTAATAATAATAGAAATAAAGTGCATAATAAATGTAATGCACTTGAATCATCCCAAAACCATTCCACCACCACCCCCACCACTCCTACCCTGGTCCATGGAAAAATTGTCTTCCATGAAAATAGTCCCTAGTGACAAAAAGGCTGGGGACCACTGGTGTATATGATGTAACCCCTCTGTAAGCCAGCCATTTGATTTTGATCTGTAGGCCTCCCAGCTTCCTGAGCCTGCCAGAGAAGAGTATTTATTGTATTCTGAAGATAAGAGAGTTAATTATTACCAGCTGAGGTTCACAATGCCATCACTCTCTTGTTTCTCTCTGGCTAAAGATGGGTTCTATTAGAAGTCACTGGGAACTCCCATCACATCACTGACAAATCCAGGGTGCAGTACTGGTCTGGTTCACGGTATGTGTCTGGAGGCTGGAAAGGTGGCAGATGCCATTTTTTCCCGATTTCAGGGACTTTTCTTACAGCAGCTGGCTCTTCCAACATTCCACAGAGAAACTGGAATAAAGCCTTGCCCCTTTGCTTTTTGCATGTGGAAAGACTCACCCAACTTTTTGATTGTTGTTCTGTATAGTTCAGCCAATGCTACCCCTGAATTTGAAGGTCGAGGAGGTGATGACCTCGGCACAGAAATCGCTAACACCCTCTACCGCATATTTAACAATAAGAGCAGCATCGACCTGAAGTCCCTCTGCATTAGTCCCCGGGAGCACTGCTGGGTTCTCTACGTGGATGTGCTGGTGAGTATCATGTTGATGAAGCGGCCATGCTCTACCTTTGTTGGAGACCACTTGGCCTACTTTTCTCCCAAAGCTTTTTCCCTCTTCAGGTGGGTGTTTTCCACCTATAGGGTGAGATTAGTTGGGAAAAGATGACCTTCTAGAATAATTTTTAAAATTAGATATAACATACATATAAATAACATGTATAATGCCTCTCTATAATAAAATTATGATCATATGGTAGCACCTAAAATTATCCACAGAGGTTGTCAGGGAAGCAAAAAAAAAAAAAAAACAAGAGATGCTCTCTGAATGGTTCAGATAAAGTTGATGGGCAAAACTTAGATAGGTTGGCACAGTGTGTATAGAATGGTGATAAGCCCTTTGCATGCACTCTCATTTAAACCTTGCAGACCTTTTGTGAGCAGACACTCTTATATGCCCCACTCATAAGTGACAAAACTAAGACAGAGCCTCAGCTTCTGAGCAGTGCTGTTGGGTCTCAAAGCCAGGTCTGTATGGCGCTGACACCTGCTCTTGACCTCACTGTGCCATTATCCCTTGAAAACACCCTAGAACCCGTGGGCTCTGAGGCCCTCATGTCCCAGGTTAGGATCCAGAGGCCCTGCCTCTTCCCACACAAAATATCCCCTAGGAGTCTTTTCAGGCCAGCCCTTCTTTCTCTCCCAAATACTCCTCTACCCAGGTTTTGGTGCTTGATGGTAACTTCTCTGGGTAGCTGTGATTAATTATACCTTTGTGTAATAATGTAGCAGTCAGTGGCTTATTCGTGTACAGGCTCTTGTTGGGTTTGTTTTATTCCTCATTAAATTTTATGAGCCTTGAGATTATCAACTACATCTTCCACTTCAAAGTGAGAACACAGACTAAGCCATTGACCAAACAGATTCTTTAATGAATGTGCAAATAAAGGAGATATTTCAACTGATAGTGAACTTCATGAAGAGAAACAACTGGCTGTTGTAGGCTCTATGTGAAACAGGGTAGGGCTTTCTGGATATTTTTAAATTAATATGATAATGGACGGAACATAGTCAAAAGATAGCAGTGGTAACCATTGTCTAACAGGTTAGGACTGTTATGAATGCTGATGGTAATAGGTAAAAATAATGAAATTACAAGTCTATTTGCTTTATCTCATCCCTTATAAGTAGGATGTACCTTGCAGTGTGATTCCCACCACACAGATAATTTCACAGGTCCTGGTTTTGAGGAGGTAGGAACCGGCAGCCTACAGTCTTACCAAGGACTGTGGAGACAGGCTTCCTAGTTGCCCGGGGAGGGGCAGCCCCCTGATGCGAACTCTCAGGTTCCACCTGGTGTCTGAAGAGCTTTCTGTCCTCTCCCCTCCCCCACCAAAACAAGTTAAAGACATGAGTGCTATGGCACCCTACATTTGTCCTTTGGCAATCGTGCTTTGCTACTCCTGGCTATTTGTGCACACTTGCGGTTTTGTAGGAGAATGGCCCAGTGATAAGGACTGAGGCACTTATGATTCAGTTACACCAAAGCAACAGAAAACCTGTTCTTCTCTTAGTGAAGGCTTTGGGAAAACTGATGAATATAGGGACATCATCTCAGCTCAGAAACAGCCCTCTTCTTCCATGAGCTGGAGTATCGGGGGATAGTGTGCACTATGTCCCTGTCATCTGTAGACCTTTCTTTTTAAGACTCTTGGCATTTGGATTTCTTCTCAGATATTTATAGAAAAGTTTTGCTTCTTTTGGAGGAAGACCTGAGCTTTTGAAATGTTGTCATCTTCAGAAAAGTTTTTCATGAATTAGAAAAGCATTTAAATAATTATGAATGAGGTAGATCAGTTTTTGTCATTCATGTAATTTGTATCTGTGGAGGGGTTCCTCCTGCATGGAAGCAAATGTTTGCATTCAACCTTGGTGGGAACGTGCTTTGTGTAAGCCTTGGGATAGACTTTTGTTTGGGGGATATGTTTTCATACTAAATCAAAGATATACTGAGTAGATTGAGTCTGTGTTTGAAGCGAGGTCTTGGAAATCCAGTCTTGTCCCTGGAATTGTGAAAAATGAATCTCTTATGATTTATTTTTACCAACTTGTCTGGGTAGTCCTCAGGCAGATATTCTATCCTCAGATATTCGCTGGGTACCCCGCCGTGGCTTCATACGTTTATTGCAGGCATACTTACTTAAAACCTATTACAGTCAGATGATCCACCTATTTCTGGCATTATGTTTTTCCCCAATTGAGTTATTAGAATAAACGTTTAAATTCATGGAAACTTTTCTTTGCTCTTCATAGGTTTTTAATGGCATTTTTTTTTTTTTTACCCCACCTGGGATAACTCTTAGGACTTTGTCATACTCACAATGTACAGGTGACCTTTGGTGGGGAGATTGGTCACAAGATTGGTCACAAGAATGGAAGAGTCGCCGCAGCACCTGCAGCTGGCTGCGTGGGTGACTGAGGTGCTGAGCCCAGGTGTCTGAGCAAACAGTGAGGGGAAATCCAGGAGGGGCAGGTTTTGTGCGTGGGACACACGTTTGCTATTTGGTAGGCTGTTTTTCTTAGCAGCGTGTTTTGGAAATTTGCCTTAGGAAAGAAAGCCCTCCTCCCCAGGGTGTTACAGAATAAGTTGTGCTGTTTCCCTAAAAGAACCACTCTAGGATTTATGCATCTGAAAGAGGGAGGTGTTTGTGTCTTCCCCTTATCCACTTCTCCTTTCCCACCTCTGTCACAGGAGGGACACCTACGGCCTGCTCTAGGACCACAGTCCTGGGGTGCCTCTGTGACACTGGGTGTCCTGTGCCTCCTGTTTTCCTCCTAGCTTGTTCTGGGTCTACGCAGGTAGCCCATTCAGCTGCTTTGGATCTCCCTATACCCCTTACTCTCCCCCTGCTTCTTAGCTGCGCCAGTATGTTTAGCAAAAAGACTCCTGCTAGGCTGGGCCTGCCTGGCAGTAGAGAGAGGAAGGTAGGATCTGTGAGCACCTGTTATGGGCTGGGAATGTTAAGGTTGTGATCTCGTTTCATCCTCACAGCCACCCTGTAAAAGAAGCGTGGCTTTGCTTTACTGATGGGGAAACCGAAGCTCGGAGGACACATAGCCAGAAAGTGGCAGGGATGAGTGTCAGACCCACGCGGTCTGGCTCCAGGGAGCACCCCGAGGTACCCCGTTGTGTGGTACACTGTGGGGAGTCTGGGCAGGCAGACCTGAGACCAGAGGGTGTGCTCATTCCTTCGCACTCTGTGGAGGAAGACAGGCTGATTGGTGCCTGCCCTTCTGGAGGGCCCCTCAGCAGATATTCAGGGTTTATTTTAGCATTCTGCCCTCTTCATTTCATGTCTAGGTGATAAGCTAGAATGTTGAAAGTCAAAGTTTGTGTCCAACTGTAATGAGACACAGCACAGGACGATAGAAAGAGCACTGCACTTATTAGCTAATGCTTACTATGTGCTAAACACACGTCTCGGGCTTTGCCAATATTAACTCATTCCAGCTATATAAGAACTCTGTGAAACAGGTGTGATTTTTAGCCTCCACAGTTGGTCAAGAGAGGTTAAGTACCACCCAGGGTCATGCAGCTAACTGGAGAAGACAGGAATCAAATCCAGACTACTAAGTCAGGAGTCTGGCCCAGAGCCCCTTTGCTGTGTGGCAGTCTATGTCTGAACAGTCACCGGAGTAGAAAAGAGTTAGTCCAGTTGCTAGGTGAATAAGTTGCCATTACAAAGTCAGGTGGTGACATAGGCTGGGAATCATATGTTAATAACAAGTATACAGGGCTATATAGGAAAGAGGGTATCTGGAACTGAGGTTTGCTTGGAAAGCTGAAAGGTGAATTAGAGACTTGCAGTGGGCATGAATGAAGTACATGATGAGATGTTCTGGATATAAGTATTGACTCTGACTTAGCTGAGTTTGGAAGGGGCCAGCCTTAGGGCCTGCCTGTCTTTCACAAATAACCACCAGCCTCGTTCTTCATAGCAGCCCTTCTTTTGAGCTCTGGGATTAAGGATTGAACTAAACCACAGAGTCCCAGCCTTTAGGAGTTCATAGTTCAGATGAAGAGGAGACAGATTCTAAACAAAAACACACAGAAATACATGACTTTTCTTTCTACATATTGCTTCTCTCCTTTCTTACTCAGGGCAGCCCAGCTTTATTCCATAACCTCAGGCCCAGGCTTCTCTAAAAGGAGGGCAGAGCGACGTGCCGCCTTCCACTGACCTTCCCTGCTAGATGAGCACGCATACGTGCACCCAACGCTTTTGTTCATGGGCAAGAGCTTTCATGAGAGACCTTAGCTTTTATCATAATTACTGTAAAACATGCAGCGGTGTTTCATGTTTGAGCATCAGCTGTATATTGATCCTTACATACAAGGGGTGATTCCACTAATAAACACGAACCTGCTAGCAGCTGCAGCATCAGTAGCCACCGTTTTCTACCTGCTTGGAGGCCAGGCATATGTTAGCAAAGATTGGAGTAACTCTCGGGGTGCCATTGGGAGCTATTTGGGGCAAAATAAAAATGATCAGTCTGTCTTTCAGTGCAAGCCCAACTGGCTGGAGTGCCAGTGAGAGGAGCTCCATAGCAAGCCGATGCCTCTTAGTGCTGGTACCCAGCTGGGGCCAACTGTCACCTGTGCGTGTGGCCCTTGCACGCACAGCCATGACAAGGCAGCACTCACAGTTAGGGTGAACACACTGTCAGTGAGCTGTAGTCACCACATGGCTTGCCAGGAGAGCAGCCATGCATTCTTATCTTAATTTCATACGCACACATTCAGTCACCATTTCTTAGGAATCAGTGTCCTTAACTGGGATCATATGTAAAGTAAGAATGATGCTTCCTTTTTCTTCCCTTGTCAATCCCTGTCTCTCTTAGCTACTGGAATGTGGTGGAAATTTGTTTGATGCCATTTCCGTTGCTGTAAAGGCTGCTCTCTTCAATACAAGGTGAGTCTTCCTGCAGACAGCTCTGGCCCTGCAGAGGACCAGAGCAGACACTCGTAATGGAACAGTTAGGAAATTTCTACTGTAGCTCATAAGTAAAGATAACTAGGGGTTTTAACATTGAAAGTCGTGTTTCTTTTTTTTTTTTTTTTTTTATGGGTACATGATATTGTATATCTTTATAGGATACATGTGATGGAAAATGGTGGTATCTAATGTCAACCTCCGGAATCCTGTCAAATTCCTAGCACTCTGGCGAGCCGAGGCGGGCGGAGACTGCTCCGCGGTGAGGCCAGGGTTCGACACCAGCCTGAGCAAGAGTGAGGACCCGTGTTATAAATAAGAAGACAATTAATTGGCCAACTAATATATAGGATGAAAAGATTCACTGCGCATGGCGGCGCAGCCTGTAGTCCAAAGCTTACTTGGTGAGGCTGAGGCAGGAGGATTGCTTGAGGCCAGAGTTTGAGGTTGCTGGTGAGCTAGGCTGATGCCATGGCACTACTCCGTAGCTGTGCAACAAAGCGAGGACTTGTCTCAAAAAAAAAAAAACAAAAAAACAAAAAAAAAACACCAAACACTTGTTTAAAATGGGTTATTCCACTTTAATTAAACCCATTGGACAAAAAACCAACAAACAAAAGCAAAAAAACAGCAATGGAGCATGGTTTGGTAGTAGATTAATGTTGGCAACAGGACCCTGGAAGTTCTGTAAACCTTCCTAGGCTTTGAGAGTTATGCATTAATTCTGATTATGGAGTCACACCAGGAGATATGCCCATCCCATTCGGAAAAGTAAAACATTTTGAAATTAGATCTCTCTGACCGGATTTGTCTACATAGAGATCTGTATACGATGTATTTTTAAGGCACTTAAAAAGTGGACTTTTAATTTGATTGCTAGCGTTTAAAGTTAGAACAGGGTTGTGTTTTGCTGCTGTGAAGTAAAAGCTTGGTCCTGGTGACTTCATTATTTCACATAAATGAGCTGATTTTCGAGGCTCGATGGCTGCGTCCAGCAGAGCAGTTGAGAACGGGTGAGGCTTGCTATGCAGTGAAAGTTTCTCTTGCGGACTTTAAGTGAGGTTCTGCTGGCTGGTAGTGGTAAGGGAAAGACTAATTAGGAGAAACAAAGTTGTTTACAACATGTGAATCGTTTTTAGGATCCAAATTTACACCTATATTATTGATGATTCTTTTAGGGTTAACCCAAATGTATGGCTACAGCTTTGCAGCCTCAACAGGTCACTTTACCTGAGTCCCCTTTGTGACTCATCCCGTGAGCGGCAATCTACTCGTCGTTGACCACCTGTCGACTTGTCTAGTTTCCCAAGTTTGTCAGTTTGTTCCTTTCATGACACCCTCCTACTTCACAGGAACTGTGGCTTTGGGTCACATATACAGATTCGGTGGCTTGGCACGGTGGGACTTTCGTGATGAGGGGTCAGAAAATTTCTATATGTGACTTTTTTTGAGTCATGCTGAAACAGCTACTTCCGTATTTTCTGCGACCTTTTCATTCACAGTAAATATATGCTGCAATGTTTATTTTCTGCACAATAAGGATTTGTTGTGATTACGGCAAATCTAAAAAAGTTCTGTTAAACACTTGGTGATATTTTCTGGGTGGCCACTTGTTTTGTTTTTTTCAGAGAGCAGGTTGAATCGTAACCAGGGCTTAAAATATGTCGGCATGATCCAAGCCCACTGCCAGCCTTGAACTCCTCAGCGCTCCTAGTACTCCTCTTAACTCTTAGCCTCCAAGTAGCTGGGACTGCCACAGGCAATGCCACCACACTCACTAATTTTCTGTTTTTTGTAGAGGGGTCTTCGATATTGTTCCAGCTGGTCTCTGGAACCACTCCTGGCCTCAGTAACGTCTTTCCATCTTGACTCCAAAAGTGCTGGATTCTTAGCATGAGCCACCATGCCTGTAGAATCCTATTATTTCTTTGTGAGGTAATTTGCATGCGATCAAGAAAGCCGAAAAAAGAAAATGTTTTTCTTTTGAAAAAGTCAGATAAAGGGGATAACCTAATATTTCAATCAAAAAGCTTTTCTTTCCTTTTACTTTCATTCATTTTCCTTTTTTTTCAGTACAGTGATAATGTAAAGTTTATGACATAACTGACATACTATCATACATGTTTTAAATCATTCCAAAATGTTTGTTCTTACATGTTGTTTTGGTTGAAAGTATCATAGGACATTCTAAAGCTGTGAACTAGGATGTGTATATCAAGGTCCCCAACCTATGGTGAGTTGCTAATTATTTCATTATATACAATGTAATAATAATAGAAATAAAGTGCATAATAAATGTAATGCACTTGAATCATCCCAAAAACCATTCCACCCCACCCCCACCACTCCTACCCTGGTCCATGGAAAAATTGTCTTCCATGAAAATAGTCCTCAGTGACAAAAGGCTGGGACACTGGTGTATATGATGTAACCCTCTGTAAGCCAGCCATTTGATTTTGATCTGTAGGCCTCCCAGCTTCCTGAGCTGCCAGAGAAGAGTATTTATTGTATTCTGAAGATAAGAGAGTTAATTTATTACCAGCTGAGGTTCACAATGCCATCACTCTCTTGTTCTCTCTGGCTAAAGATGGGTTCTATGAAGTCACTGGGAACTCCCATCACATCACTGACAAATCCAGGGTGCAGTACTGGTCTGGTTCACGGTATGTGTCTGGAGGCTGGAAAGGTGGCAGATCCATTTTTTCCCGATTTCAGGACTTTCTTACAGCAGCTGGCTCTTCCAACATTCCACAGAGAAACTGGAATAAACCTTGCCCTTTGTTTTTGCATGTGGAAAGACTCACCCCACTTTTGATTGTTGTTCTGTATAGTTCAGCCAATGCTACCCTGAATTTGAAGGTCGAGGAGTGATGACCTCGGCACAGAAATCGCTAACCCCTCTACCGCATATTTAACATAAGAGCAGCATCGACCTGAAGTCCTCTGCATTAGTCCCGGGAGCACTGCTGGGTTCTCTACGTGGATTGCTGGTGATATCATGTTGATGAATCGGCCATGCTCTGCCTTTGTTGGAGACCACTGGCCTACTTTTCTCCCAAAGCTTTTTCCCTCTTCAGGTGGGTGTTTTCCCCTATAGTGAGATTAGTTGGGAAAAGATGACCTTCTAGAATAATTTTAAAATTAGATATAACATACATATAATAACATGTATAATGCCTCTCTATAATAAAATTATGATCATATGGTAGCACCTAAAATTATCCACAGAGGTTGTCAGGGAAGCAAAAAAAAAAAAACAAGAGATGCTCTCTGAATGGTTCAGATAAAGTTGATGGGCAAAACTTAGATAGGTTGGCACAGTGTGTGTAGAATGGTGATAAGCCTTTGCATGCACTCTCATTTAAACCTTGCAGACTTTTGTGGCGCACTCTTATATGCCCACTCATAATGACAAAACTAAGACAGAGCCTCAGCTTCTGAGCAGTGCTGTTGGGTCTCAAAGCCAGGTCTGTGTGGCTCTGACACCTGCTCTTGACCTCACTGTGCCATTGTCCCTTGAAAACACCCTAGAACCTGTGTGCTCTGAGGCCTCATGTCCCAGGTTAGGATCCAGGCCCTGCCTTCCCAACAAAATCTCCCTAGGAGTCTTTGCAGGCCAGCCCTTTTCTCTCCCAAATACTCCTCTACCCAGGTTTTGGTGCTTGATGGTAACTTCTCTGGGTAAGCTGTGATTAATTATACCTTTGTGTAATAATGTAGCAGTCAGTGGCTTATTTGTGTACAGGCTCTTGTGGTTTGTTTTATTCCTCATTAAATTTTATGAGCCTTGAGTATTATCAACTACATCTTCCACTTCAAATGAGGACACAGACTAAGCCATTGACCAAACAGATTTTAATGAATGTGCAAATAAGGAGATTTCAACTGATAGTGAACTTCATGAAGAGAAAACAACTGGTGTTGTAGGCTCTATGTGAAACAGGGTAGGGCTTTCTGGATATTTTAAATTAATATGATAATGGACAGAACATAGTCAAAAGATAGCAGTGGTAACCATTGTCTAACAGGTTAGACTGTTATGAATGCTGATGTAATAGGTAAAATAATGAAATTACAAGTCTATTTGCTTTATCTCATCCTTATAAGTAGATGTACCTTGCAGTGTGATTCCCACCACACAGATAATTTCACAGGTCCTGGTTTTGAGGAGAGTAGGAACTGGCAGTCTACAGTCTTACCAAGGACTGTGAGACAGGCTTCCTAGTTGCGGGGAGGCAGCCCCTGATGCGAACTCTCAGGTTCCACCTGGTGTCTGAAGAGCTTTCTGTCCTCTTCCCTCCCCCAAAAAAAGTTAAAGACATGAGTGCTATGGACCCTACATTTGTCCTTTGGCAATCGTGCTTTGCTACTCCTGGCTATTTGTGCACACTTGCGGTTTTGTAGGAGAATGGCCCAGTGATAAGGACTGAGGCACTTATGATTCAGTTACACAAAGCACAAAAACCTGTTCTTCTCTTAGTGAAGGCTTTGGGAAAACTGATGAATATAGGGACATCATCTCAGCTCAGAAACAGCCCTCTCTTCCATGAGCTGAGTATCGGGGATATGTGCACTATGTCCCTGTCATCTGTAGACCTTTTTTTTAAGACTCTTGGCATTTGGATTCTCTCGGATATTTATAGAAAAGTTTTGCTTCTTTTGAGGAAGACCTGAGTTTGAAATGTTGTCATCTTCAGAAAAGTTTTCATGAATTAGAAAAGCATTTAAATAATTATGAATGAGGTAGATCAGTTTTTGTCATTCATGTAATTGTATCTGTGGAGGGGTTTCCTCTGCATGGAAGCAAATGTTTGCGTTCAGCCTTGGGAACGTGCTTTGTGTAAGCCTTGGGATAGACTTTTGTTTGGGATATGTTTTCATACTAAATCAAAGATATACTGAGTATAGTCTGTGTTTGAACTAGGTCGAGGAAATCCAGTCTTGTCACTGGAATTGTGAAAAATGAATCTCTTATGATT